TTTCCAAATCAATAAATGTCTGCAAAATCATACCATGTTCTTCCCCTCCCAGAGCTGCAGTGAAGCAATGACAGCTGACAGGTTGGTCTGCCTCTCTTCATCATATTCATCCTTTAAAATAAACAAATAAAAAAAATTATGCCTGAATTAAACAAATGAACATCATGCTAAAATGTGTGCATATAGCTTTCAGATTTCAGATTTTTTTTCATTGCATATTAAAAGAAATTAAACTCACCTCAGAGTTTTTAATGACATCCCTATACAAGTCATAGCATTCCTGATATTCCTCAAGACGGTAGAGCTATTAAAACAAGAATAAAAAGTGAGTTATTTCAGTTAAACTGCATAAGATAATCATATGTTGATAAGAGATTGAACAAAGTCTCGTGGTAAAATAACTGACCACTTGAGCTAATAACTCCTTTGTCCGAGTGTCTGGTTGAGATAGCCCCCTCAATGTACCTAGTGCTTCTTCTGTTCTGTTCAGACGGTATTCACAATATGCCTTCTCAAATGCTACGTAACTGCAGGAGAAAATAATACAATACAAGGACAAGGTTAAGTAGATGACAAAATCAATGAATTTTTTGAAGCAAAAAACCTGACATACATCTGTTTTCTACGTTATCATACTTACCTTGTCAATTCTTTATTTTTATTAATTTGGATCAAAGCCTCATCAAATTTGTCTAGTTTGATCAAACAAACAATCTTGCATTGAAATCCAGTTTCATTCTTTGGATTTTCATGTACAACTGAAATTGGAATGAAACCCATTTACAACATAAATATATTAATAGACAAATAAAAATAATAATTATTACATTTACTAGCATCATTTGAATATACATGCAAATTACCTTATAAACAATATCATAATAACATAATTTAATAACAAATATGCGAATACAAATGTATTTGAAAGTCAGAATGCTTTTGACACACATCTCTGAGAGAACACAACTCCTCAAAGTCATAAACAAGCATATGTTAGACTTGTATGTTCTGCGGATCAGGTTAAAATATTAATTTCTGTACTTAAAGACAATTTCGTTTCATATACAGCAATACATTTTGCATATTTCCACCTCAAAAAATATTAAGATACTCTTGCTACTTTTATCAAAAGCTGCAACACTGAAAGTATGTTAGTCGTATGTGTTGACGTGTGCAGTCTGGATGGAGAAAATTCAAGTTAAATAATGATCCTCATATCTCAATTACCTCCCAACAAAAACTTACTTCTATTAGCTACTTTTAAAGCTTTGGTGAAGTCTTGATTCTTTGCAAACTTATTTAATTCTGCGAATCGATCAGAGAGAGTGGTAGCATCTTTTTCCGACTTTTGTGCCATATTGCGGTGACAACCGGAAATTGATGGAGAGACCGGTACACAGATTATAGGTAGCTCGTTCCTAGATTGCATTCTTCTGGCACATCAATCTCTACCCAGAGTTATCGTATATAACCCCATGCAACGATTGCAACTGTTAATTCTCAATTAATAAAAAAGTGGAGATAACGAACATTAATCGATCTGGAAAAAAATCATTAACAGAGAAATGCGTAAACAGGGCATTATGAACACCGATCCTCGGAAAATCCAGAGGGTGGGTTCAGGTGCCTAAGAAGAGTAAACATCCCCTGTTAACCGGTTACACCCTCTGGAGACCATTTATATTGTGTTCAGACAGACGGAGATCTTCGTATTCAAAATAATCGTAAACACAAAGGCCTTATGTATGAAACACGAACAGTCGATAGGTTAAATGTTTACAAAGTCATGTTTAATACCATAGAATTTACAAAATGCCGACGGATATCCACGTAACATCGCATTTTCTTTCATTAGCCAATCTAGACAGTTTAAAGCATGCACTCTCTTGATTATAAGTTTGGATGTAAACACCATATGAATGCAAGTGAAAGCTTCAATATAACCGGCATACTTAAGGACAGATGATACAAACTTTTATCAAAAATTGGAAAATAACAACTTGATTCACGTTTTAACGAGTAAAATGAATGGGTTTCATAGTATTTCATTTTTTATTCAAATTCACCAAAATGGAATTTGGAGTGAAAGATATTTGTATAGATTTATATAAGGATGGTTTCATTGATGCAGAAGTTACTTTGAACATCTTAGAAGGTTTATAATTTCTTTATATTCTAGAAATTCATTATTTGCATCATTTTCAATGAAATTAGGCCATAAAATATATATAGGGTGAATTAATTCACCCTACCAATCCAGGCATCCATTTTTTTTTTGAACCATATGTCCTCAAAGTTTACTTGTCTAAAATCAACAATAAAATACCGATGTATAAACAGATGATCATGTGGCAGACAAAGTGATGTTCTTTCATTCGAAGTTCATTGCCATAGAAGTCAGCAACTACTTTATATTGACATATTTACGTCGTTGATATAAAACAGTATCTGAATGTCAAGTTGAAGGTACAAATAAAAAAAAAATACTCTGCTTCGTAAGAATATGAAAATAAGTAGGCTAATAAAGGAACACAAGTAGTGCCCATCGGAATAGCAGCACTTTGTTGGAAGACTCAACTCCAAAGATTACAAAAATGTCGTCATTGAGGAACTCAGCATATATCTTTAAATTTACAGTTAATTTTATAAGTACTTTTGTGTAGAAACCGAGTACTTTTTAGCAAATTTATTGATGACAAACCACAAGATACAAATTTCTTTTTATAAAAGAGGAAGTCGTCCTTCGTTGATATCAACTTTTTTTTATTTACAACTGATATGAATGTATAAAGTGTAGAAAAGTCACACGTTTTGATATTCAAAATAACGATTTCGACTTTTCTGAAAGTTAGTTTAGTTTAAACCATCATTTACTAGTATTTGAAATTTACAAGCAGATAGTACAAATATTCAGTGAAGATCAAACAGGATTTGAAAACAAATTTAAAAAAACTTTGAAAAAATGTAAATTCGTCTCCTGATCATTTGTGGATGTTAAAGATCCTTTTGGGCATTTGCTTTGACCCAATTATAAACGTAAAGAAATCCAGTATAGGTGGGATATATACAGAAGATCGAAGAATTTCATCATTAGAAAGTGAACTGATAAGGAAGAAAACACGATTATTAAAAAATTTATATGCATGTGTAGGAGTATATTCTTTCTCCCCACCCCTACCCCAGCTGCATCACGTAGGTTCATCCTACGGTATTATAGTTATACACTTCAAATGCCTGGCCCCTCTGCCCTTTTTTGCAAAGATAGACCACAGGTACTTGTGGACAGGACCCCCCCCCCCTCGATATTCAACCTCGGGGCTTATTGGACTTTTTTTCACAAATTATATTTATTACACTTATTCATCAGGTGTACAATATGAAAAAATTCAAAACCCCAAAACAATCGCTCCACAAAAAAATATATATACATTATAAGGGAGAAAGGTATGCAACTCCGATTTGTTTACGTTGTACCCCCACTGTTCTTTCTGGGTTTAAAAACATGTATTTATTTCATTTTCACCTAAAATGTCGATTCACTACGTCTCTACATATATTTCTGTCTCAGTCCATGCTATCGGACTGACTCTGCATCTCGTAAGAATCCCACAATATCTCCTTAAACAGCATTCTAGTCAGAACGTTGAAATTTCCTTAGGTAATCGCAACGGAAGTGCATAGAGAATGATTCACTTATAAGGATAACGTCCGAGAGAGTTTCGGACTGACGTAATCATCTCTCTCGGGTGTTATCATACATTCTATATGCACTTCCTTTGCTTTTACTAAGGGAAATTTCAACATTCTGACTGGAATGCTTTTTAACAGTATAGTGATATCAAGTTAATGATAGCATTGTGTACAAAATATATTGAGACAGTGTGAAAGACATTTTAGGTTGAAATAAAATAAATACGTTTTTAAACCCTGAAAGACCAGTGGGGGGTACAACGTAAACAAACCGGAGTGGCATACCTTTCTCCCTTATAATGTATATAGTGGGGTATTTTTTTGTGGAGCGATTGTTTTCGGGTTTTGACGATTTTTTCGTATTGTACACATGATGAATATGTGTAATAATATAATTTGTGAAAAAAAATTTGAATAATGTTGTAAATTTTGTCCACAAGTACCTGTGAGATAGACATATCAATAGGCATCGAAAATTGGGGCTTACCTACCTTTTTGTTGGTTAGCCCCCCTTTTTTTAATTAGTCACCCGAGTTTTAATTTGGTTCCGACACCTTATATATATACACACCCTTACACACAATTAACCTCTCTCTTTCTTTTTTTTCTTTCTCTCTCTCACACATTCGAATTAAGTGTTAACTAATTTGTGAAATTGGCTGTTTTGAAAAGAAAAGAAATCAGAGTGTGAATACACCTACCCTGTACATCACGGGCATTTGTTTCGTATACGGGGTACCCCCTTACTTATAAGTAGGGGGTGCCCTGTATATACTAAACAAGTGCCTGTGATGTACATGTACACGATAAGCTTCTATGCCAGTTTAATCGCAAAATTCTGAGATCCGAAAATTTCGAATAATTTGGAAATCAGAATTAAACTTAGAACATACACTTTTCTCAAATACACAGATCATATTTGTATTTAAAATAAGATCTTCCATATGTCGCGACATATCAAAAAAAAATCGGGGAGCGGATGGAAGATCTAATTTTAATTAGATTATGCACATCTTGATTTAAATGACGCGCAAAGTACGAAGAACAAAAAAATCATTTTCATGACATTTCTAATTAAATCGAAGTTATTTTATGCACATTCTTTATTGAATTAACTTTCATATCATCATGTGGGCATTTTCTTATTCTTTAGCGTCAAATACTTCAATCTTTTTTTTTTCTAAATAGAAATTCCTGTGCGATTAATGAGAAGAGTTGAATTACCCCTTAGTTACCTCCCAACAAGTTCATGCGAGTTGAAATCAATTTGCGTCTTCTGAGCGCTTCAGATTAAGCGGGAAATGCTCTAGAAAGGAAGTACCCATTTGATACAGACAACCGAGTGACAGGTTCTTGTAAATATTTATCCCTTGCCACAATGTTGGTTTTTAACGGATAATTTCTTTTTTAACGATAAAATTTATTCACCATGTCTGACTCCGAAGATGAGGCACCGGATAAGCAACTGAAAATCGTCATTATTGGAGATGGTGCCTCCGGAAAGGTAAGGAAAAGTTGCAATGTTGGACAGTATCCAACGGAAATCGGGGTTATCTTCTTGTCACGAACTGCTGATCGATCGAATATATAAAGGTTATCGTTATTTTTATGTTATTAAATTAACAAATGCTCTCAGTAGTAATTGAAGTGTTATGTTGACGTCAACAGGTTAATGAAAGCCGAGGAATTCATAAAGGTTATCGAAGGGTCACTTACTTTATGATACGTGTACATGTACTGTAGTAACTGTACATTCATTCAAATGATCTTTTAAAATTAGCTTGATTTGTGATCAAATATTTCTTAACTAAACGTGCCATGTTCATTGATTTGTTGAGTTTTTATAGGCCACCAAAACTTTATTCATTTTTTTTTAAACATATGATCACATCCCATTGAAAAAGTACATCAGCATCAAATCCTAGCAAAGACTTAAAACTAGGTTCTTGGTTGGTGAAAGATATCTTTTACGAAAATTGTGAAAATAAATGTGTTTACTGCTATTGCCTAACTGAGATTTTTATCTACAATTTTTTAACTTGGCTTCAAATAAAAAAAAAAAAAACCCTCCCACCTGGGTCAGGGCCTAAAATAAAATATTGTTTGTTTGCAGTTGCCGACCGATCCATTGAAAATGTACCCGACCCAAACTTTTTTTCAGCCATTTTGTAATATTATTTTTTTCTCAAATTTTTCAGGATATTAAAACTGTTTCATTTTCTATTTTTGTCTTCATCAATCAGCAGTTTATACCAAGAGTGCAGCTTATTCGGGTGCTAGTCACTGCGCCCCAAAACCTGAACGCCCCATGCATGAACGCCCCAAAATTTTTTACCTTCGCCCAAGTACAAATATGAGCGCCCAAAATCTTAATCACGAGCGCCCCAAACGTATTTCACCAGCGCCCCAAATTAGCATTTCGGGCGCCCCAAGGCTTAAATTAACTAGTAAAGAACCAATCTGTTGTCTTTGATGCGTGTTTTATTACAATTTATTAGATTTAAAAAATATATTATTATTCACGAGCGTCCCGAATGATATTTATCAGTTGTTTATCACGAGTGCTTCAAGTTTTGCGATAAAAACGCCCCAAGAATTGTAAACTAGCTTATATGAAGATAAATGTAAACGTACTAAACAAATGGAATTCATATTTATACGTGTATTCACGAACCGTAATTTATTTTGATTTTTTAATTTTTTTGATTTATTCAGTGCTAATAAGGATCTTACAAAGAGGAAATACACTGTACGAATAGAATAAACTTAAACACCGATGTGTATTTCTGCAGTAACTATGTAATAATAACCAGAAAAGTTTTTAGACTAGCTGTCATATTCATTGTAGAAACATGTAGTCTTATACCTTTATCTCCTGTAAATCGGTAAATTAAACTATTCAAGATACCAAGTACCTACTTTTTTTTAAATCGTCTACGTAGGTTGCAATTTTTTTTTATAAGAGTTACGAAATTTATTTAGAATCTGTCAGTAATAAATATACAACAAAAATTATAAGAATACAAAAAATTATACATCATTTAACCTACCCAAAGTCATCTATCTATTAATTTTTTTTTTTTTTACTAATTTTAATGATGTAGATTAGGTTCAAAATCGCATTTTATCCTTAGTATAGTGCACTTGCCGTGCGCTTTCGTTGCTTCTTGTGTACCTGATTATGTAATGCTACATAATATTACACACCTTTCACTAGATCATTGGGATTTGTAGTCTGTGTATACACAGTAATCATAATTTCAGATACCCAGTTCAACAAACATACACTGTAATTCTGGTCCTTCAACGACTTATACCACCTTTCCATGTGAATTATATAACAAACATGCACAGACGGATCATGCGTGTAAATTAAAATGAATACATCTAGAAATTAATTACAAAAATAAATTATACATAAACGCATTTTAGGCACTTATCTGCATTTCCACAAAGGAAAAAATACTGTATTTCAAAGACTTCATGACGCAGATTTGGTCAAGCAACTATCACAATTTGTAAGACTTTATTTAAAATGTTTTATTTCCCCCCAATATTATCATGCTTTATCGCCAAATTAATTCAAATCACTTCATATAGCCGGTATTTGATAAAATATAGGGGGGGGGGGTCTCCTTTTATTTGGGATTACGGTCGTGCTCTGACTGTAATACAAATGACTGTACTATTACCTTTAATTACACGAATAAAACTTGATAATTTAAAAGAATATTTCTCCAGATTTCTTTGCAGAAGGAAAAGTAAACAAATTAATATTTAGACGAGCACCTGCATGTGTATCTGTGACCATATGTTATTTGGGGCGCTCGAAATGCTAATTTGGGGCGTTCGTGAAATACGTTTGGGGCGCTCGTTATTAATATTTGGGGCGCTCATATTTGTAATTGGGCGCCGGTAAAAATTTTTGGGGCGCTCATGCATGGGGCGTTCAGGTTTTGGGGCGATACGACAGTAACCCGCTTATTCATGTATAGTAGACCTATGAAAAACTCTATTTTATGTTATCTAACAAAAATCTGAAAAGTTTTTTTTTCAAAAAAGAAAAAAAAAAGATTGCCTACCTACCTACCCAGTCTAAAAATTATAGGTCGGCAACTGCAAACAAAGAATTTTTTAAGCTTGGCCCAGTCCACCTCCTCCAAGGTAGCAATATCCAAACAACTGGGTGGTCTAGAGAGAAATGCATGTATTTGTGATCATTTTAAAACTGACTTGTATAATTAACCTACTTCACTTTTTAAATTATTGAAATTGTTTCAAGGATTACAGAATTAAGATACATCAATGTTAGGTATATATGGTTATTTATAGATATTTTACTCTAATTCAGACCTCTCTGGCGACCCGCTACTCACAGGAGCAGTTTGGAAGGAATTATAAACAGACTGTGGGCCTGGATTTCTTCCTAAAGAGGATTGTCTTACCTGGTTTGTGACTAGAATTCTCTTATCTTTAGCTTAACTTAATCAATGTTTTCATTTTTAAAAATAAGTCAGATATTGATCTGATTATTTTATGACAGCTGGTATTATAAATTTTATTTACCTGAGAGTGTTTTATTTCCAGACTAGAAACATGAGTATTTAAGTTAAAATATGCACATATATGCAGAGATAGAGGGTAATATACAAGGCTTATTATTGATTTGATGAAAATCTACTAACAGTTTACTTAGATTCTAACTTTACAAGCTTTTATCGATAACCTTTTTGGCAAATGACAAGTGTACATAATAATATTATTAATGCATCTCATTTTCAGGAAATGTGCATGTGGCCTTGCAGGTGTGGGATATTGGTGGACAAACCTTGGGAGGAAAAATGCTAGAAACTTACGTATATGGATCAAGTGTAAGGGGTCTCTTCTTTTTTAAAAAAAAGTGAAAAATGCTCAGTGATTGCTTTGTGTTGAGACTTCATTTAATGAAATTATTCTATACTATTATCTTAACCTTAGTGACTTAATTTTTATCAAATACACTCCTTAAGTGCCTTGCCAAGCCAATTCAATTTTAAAAATTAATAGATTTCATGTTTTTATATAGGGTATCCTTTTGGTGTATGACATCACAAACCTTGCTAGCTTTGAGAATGTAGAAGATTGGTATAGCTGTGCAAAGAAAGTCTTTGGAAAAGACACCAAAATGCCTCACCTAGCATTGGTTGGCAATAAAAGTAAGAACCCAAAAAACGCAATATTGAGTTATTGGTTAATATTCCTGGAAACTCAAGCATGCTGTAACTGATAAGATAGAGAAAACATTGATTATTTTCCAAGAGAAAAAAATGCTTCAAAACACACTTCAGCTGTTCTTGATATTTTCAGTATTTTGTGAGATTGCATTGTTTTTTATCGTTAAGTTGATATAAAGGTTAGATAATAGTTAAAAATAAAATTTTATAAAGACAATCTTTTTTCTCATTCTTTGGAAAAGAAATATGCATTGTAATTAAATGGAAAACATTTTGATCTTTTGTATATATGTTTATTTTAGTTGACCTTGAACACATGAGGACAGTTAAGATGGATAAACACCAGAAGTTTGCTCAAGAGAGAGGCATGTCTAGCCATTTTGTTTCTGCCAAAACAGGGGACAATGTAAGTTAAACTTGAAACAGTGTTAGCTGGGGGAAAAATATAGGTAAAATAATGTTTAACTTATTTGTCTGCAAGTCTGTTTATATTATAATTCTATGAATCTTCATGAGAATTTCATTAATTTTTATTTAATATCCAAAACTAATACAAGTCTTTACTTCCATTTGTCCAGGTGAGTTTATGTTTTCAAAGAGTAGCAGCTGAAATTCTTGGAATCAGATTGACTAAACCAGAAGTAGAGCAACACCAGCGAGTTGTCAAGGCAGAAATTATTGACTCAAAACATGACGCAGCTGCCAAACCGGTACCAATGACACAGAAGAGCTCGCTATGTAGTATACAGTAGCACATCAGATAAAGACCAGGGGCATTAACTCTTACCCATCTCTTCAGAATCTCTTGTTATGAAATGTAGGTATAAAAGATTGGATCAAACAAAATTGCTTGATTTGTGGTGTATGTTTTGTATATTTTTAATGATTTAATTTTCATATTTCTTGTTCAAAAAGTTCTACAAGCTATATATCAAAGTTCTTTCGTGTATTATACATATACAATGAATTGAAGGAAATTGAATGCACTATTGTGATGTGATCTACTTAAGTCATAATCTATAAGCAGTAAGGATTTATAAATTTACCCCCTTCCATCTTACAGATAAATCTGCTCAATTTTACATTATGAATGATGTTTCTAAAATAGCAAATTCTTGATTAAAATACTGGTATTAGATTTTTATATACATGTAAATCTTTTTTGCATAATACATTAATTTTAAGATACGTACAGCTGGCTCTAAGAATTTGTTTATAAGGAAAGAAAAACATCTTATGATTGTGAGATCAAGTTGCTTCATTATCATCATTTCCTTGTTATAGTATTTCAGCTTCTTCTCAAAAATGATCAGATGTACTGTGGTATATTTGCATTGGTATAAATGGTCTAATAGATGTGGCAAATGAAATAGATGTATTCTATTGATGCCAAAAATAAATGTCATTGTTCACATATACAATGTACAAAATTAATTGTTCCGGATGGCATTACAAACTCTACTTTTGCTCTGTATATTATGTACAAAGTATCCCAGTTTGTGGAAGTATGTACTGATCTTTTGGTCTATATGGGTTTGAATCTACTGTTTAAATTCACTAATGTATATTTGTTGATAAAAAATTTGTTTTCTTTCCATCCAATTTCAAAATTTATGTACATTTAAGATAAGATGTCAATATCAATGAATAGATGAAATGACAAATGAATTTGGTCTACAAATGATATTCTTCTATAAGTTTCCTTTGTTATATTATAAGTAGAATAAGGAAATACAAACAATATAGCAACAAAAATGTTCAGTATACCCTGGGTACTAGAGCTTAGAAACTACCAGAGAGATTAAGGTTGTGTGGGATATGTATGTAGATAATGGAGGGAAATGTGTAGATAACAGAATTTTTTGTGTCCCAAATAATTCAATTAATTGAGCTTCTTAGTATTAAGTTCTTTGAGAAAACAGTTTTTTTTTGTTTTGATATGATGATTACTAAACTGGAATTCAGATATAATCGAGCAATGGGTTAAAGATTAGATTGTACATGTATGAAGTGTTGAAAGTAGCTCATGATATCCAAGAATTTTTTGTTGAAGAAGTATTGTTTTTAATTTAAGTAATGGAGTTGAATACAACATAGAGTTGTTCTGATTTTGCTTCATTGATACCATTCATGTATACATTATATTATTTGCCTTTTTCATTTCTCAGTTGATGTTACCATGCAATCATATATGTTGTGACCTTTAATCATTTGCTCATATTCATGAATGTTTTATAGCCTCTTTGACTCATATACATGTATCTTTAATGTGTACCCAGAATAATGATGTATTCGCAGTTCTTGGATGTGACATGCATAAACAGTTCAGTATTTTTACTACTTAATTTCTGATAAGACTGTTAATATTGAATGCATTCTGTCCACACATTCTCTTACTGAGTGCACCTGTGTGTTTTCATATCATACTCATTTTTCTTCTTTATTTCACTCATATCATACTTATTTATTTTCTGTTTATATACATATATTCTGAACTGAAACTAAACAGCAATACAGAAATGGGTAACACATGTGTAAACAGTGTGTGATATCACAGACAATTCAGTTCAGAGATTGTTTATTTTTGTTGGTTTTTCAATTTGAAAATGTTCATGTCTTTTTGCACTCTGCCTGTAGTTCAAGTGCAATTTTATTTTTAATTTGTGTGTCATTCTATTGGTGTTTTAATTTTCTTTAACTCCAGTATATCTGTGTGCCTTCATTTCAATTCTTGAATCAAATTCAGATTGACACCTTTTGGATTTTTACTCCATAAATCACTTTGGTCTTTGAACAGTGGATTTTGGAGAGGAAAAAAGCTAAATCCTAGTAGTAAAGATATGTGAAAATAAAGACATTTATAACATGCCATGCAAATTAAATCAGTATTAGTTTCCCTAGCTAGTATTGTGGTGTTTGGATACCCCCACCCATCCATAAATTTCCTTCTTCTGAATTACCTCAGTTGGCTTTCACTTTTAAAAACAATGTTTATTTGCATTTAATTCTCAAAATATTTATTGCTTTTATACTCCTTTTTTAATAGTGATGTTACCTTTTTTTTCTCTATGATTTTAAAAATATTCAAGATAAAAAAAGTGAAGGTAAAGAAAAAAAAATATTGTTAACTTTTTTTTCTGTAATGGTCTTTCAGATTGAAATCTTTGCCAATGGTTAATGTAAATCTAGATATGATTTTTTTCATTATGAATCTGAGTTGCTTTTAATGATTTTATCAAATCAGTGGTTATTCTTGTTTTTTGAAATTATCAGCAGGTTGTGTAAGAACAGTTTTGTTAAGATATTGAAACAAACACTCTGTCAGGTGGTTGTTGTACTCAAATAAAATGTTGACCTTTATATGACCTTTATTTCTGTGTTCTGAACTCGGAGAAACTCAAATCTGCAGTATTTAGTCATCTGACTAAGCTGCATGTTGAAGACTGAAATGCATGATCTTTGCAAGTTTCATGCGCCTTAAAGGTATTTTTTCAGTAAATATTGTTTCCATAAGGACCAAAACTGAAACAGTCTATTATCCAAAGATTTTAATTTTTTAAAAGGGATCATACATTGGCAACCATACCACTGCCAAATCCATAAACAAGTGTATACCAGGTAACTGCCATGAGAGCGTGTGGAAATATATAAATGTAGGGAAGCACAAATTCAGCTTTTATTGTAGGAAATATCTATTGCTGTCAGCAGGGTTAGATCACTGGTGGCCAGATATCTCAATTAGTAGAGCACCTTGAGATTCTTAAATAAGAAGGGCAGGGGGACTCAATATTTTATGGCCATAATATTTTGAACCCCCCTCCTTGATGAATTAAAAGGGTAGGGGGACTCAAAATTTTATGGCCATGATATTTTGAACCCCCCTCCCTCTAAAATTTAAAGGGCAGGGGGACTCAATATTCTATGGCCATAATATTTTGAACCCCCCTCCCTCTAAAATTTAAAGGGCAGGGGGACTCAATATTTTATGGCCATAATATTTTGAACCCCCCTCCCTGTAATATTAAAAGGGCAGGGGACTCAATATTTTATGGATATAATATTTTGAACCCCTCTCCCTGTAAGATTAAAAGGGCAGGGGGACTCTATATTTAATGGCCATATTTTGAACCCCGGGTTCAATATTTTATAGGGGGGTTCAATATCTCGCAGCGATATTTTGAACCTGGGTTCAAAATATCGCGGGGTTCAATATATTATAAGACACCGGGTTTGAATACGTCTGGTCTGCTGGATTTTCTCTCCCTTTCCATTTGGTGCCGTGCCATGCCCTGGAATTGACAGGTGAGAGACCTGCCAGGGATGAGCCTGGGTTGGGGTTTTAGGAGGGCCAAAGACCTTAAAGGAGGGAGGAATGTGGTGGTCAGCTGGATTTGATTGCCAGTGGTCAGATAGCTCAGTTGGTAGAGCACCTGATTAGAGATTCAGGGGGCCTGGGTTTAAATCCTGGTCTGGTCTGCTGCATTTTTCTCTCCTGTTACATAGTTACATGTCTAATGCTTTGAATCGTCTTAATATGCATCATATACCATTTCATCCTTGCAAGTTAATTATATGGACAAGATGGACCTTCTCCGGACTTGAATCAAATATATATATGTATAAAATATTCCTTTATAAAATTCAGTAAAAGGCAAATTTAGGAAAAAGTGAAGTTCAATTTATGTTTTCTAGCTATATCTTACAACCTTAAGAAAGATAGTGAACTCAGTCATTGGGAAGTTTAAGGTCTGAAAAAAATTGACACATTTGAATAGTTCTTACCCTTTTTTTGTTTAAATATTGATAAGGTCTTCTTTAAAAAATTGTTTGGTTGCCCTCTTCCAACCGACTAAAAATGGCCCTACTCAAAATTTTGTTTTTACATTCTGAGACACACCAATATTTTTTTCCTTTTATTTTCTCTTATCCAGTCAACAAACATTTTGAAATTTTCAGGAAAATAGATTTTCCGACCTACCTACCAACCCAATAACTTTACAATGAGTCGGGAGAGGGCAAGCAAACATTCTTTTAAAGATGGCCTAATAATCTCTTTTTCTGTAATAATATCAATAATATCTCAGCTTGAACACTTTCTGTGACACTGCAGAGTTTAATGCTAAGTGTTATTGTTAGACAGGCTAGAGGATGGAAGACAAATATTATATGCTTGGGAAATATTCTAGGTAGTGCATAAAATATTCTGTTATCAAATTCCTGCATGATTTTCATTTCACTGTTACAAACTTTGTTGACATCTAAAAAAATCTATAAACAATCAACTTCAAACTCTTTGAGTTGCATATGGATTTTTTATTTTGATCACTTTAAATTTTACAGATAGGTCTTCAAATAAATTTAATGTTTATTAATTATTCACAAGATGATTTTCAAAGAGAATAATTCATTTAAACATTCAATTCCATTATATTAGACATGTTAGACATGATATCAAATTTTACTTTGATTAATCAAATGATCCCACATTTTCACATTCGCCAACATAAAACACTACAAGTATAATAAAATAAAATGCAGTCCATAAAGTAAAACATAAAATCAATATACTATTGCAAATGTACCACTGTGTACATTAAATAACATATTTATTACAGTTAATAATGAAAAAAATGTACTGTCCTATTTGTACAACTTTTCAGTTTCTGTCAATAACGTATCCATATAAATACACAGTAACTGTTACAGTGTACCGGTACAAATATGTATGTACATGTATATAACAAAATTTTTTAGGCATACCATCAGTATGTATGCAGTTCCTTACTCATGTTACTGTGAAGAAGAAATTACGAATTTCTTTTTTTACTTAAAAGTACTATATATGCCATTGGAAAAAAGAAAAACCCTGGTTAATATTAAAAGCCTACCACATATCTGACTACAAACCATTGGAGAAACAATTTAAGTATCTCCCTACCAGTATCGAAGAGCACAAGCCATTATCAGTTTATATGTACTGTGACATAGTTCTCAAAAATAGTCAAAGGAAGAATTTCCACTTTTCCATTTCTCACTGGATTCACACTATTCTGTACTTGTTGCCCTTCTTTGGATTTGACATGTTTCTTTTTATAAAAACTCCGCTGTCTTCGTCCTCAGTCTTGCGTCGAGATCCCTTCTTCCCAGATTTCTTCCCATTCTTCTTAGCTCTTGCCATTACAGACTCAATTTCTTCATCAGTCTGGAAAAAAAATTCACATATAAATGGTATTTTTTAGAATCTCAAACTTAAAAACTTATATAGCCTTGTTTGCTTTTACACTTACATGCTCTTAACTGACATTTTTTCAATCTATTAATCTCAGTACATGTACTAGTCTAACTCCCAGAACAAACAGTAAATTGTCAAATAGTATTTTTAAAATACCTCTTGACTTAAACAAAAGTATATGAGTGAGTATATGTATATACCAATTAACATGAAGACGATTTCTGTTAGGGGAGATAACTCTTTCAAATATTATCAGACAACTGAGTAGTTTACATACACTTTCTTCTCCATACATCCTGGTCTGTAGCTGGTACTTCATCTCCGCTATTTCTCTTCTGTACTCGTCTAACTGGGCCTCGAGTTTCTCTCTTCTCAGTCTTTCATAGTCAAGTTGTGCCTCCAGCTCAGTGATAGTCCTGAAGTAAAAATACACGATATCATACAGTTGAAATGTTAGGATGCAAATTTGTTCTTTATTTCTACTCTAGATTAAATTTGACTTTTTCTTTCCAAAGAATGTAAAATTCCTTTATGAAAAATAATCTACAAAAATTGTGAAGAAATTTTTGAGTAAAGATATGAATTGTTTGTTGAAGAAAAAGGAATATTTAAGTTTGATGAAAGAAGAAGTTGATACATTTGTTGTGGAGGAAGTAGAAGTATTTTAATGACATTGGCAAGGTTTCTGGCTTTATTATAGAAATTTTCAAGAATTTTTGAACACGTTTAATGGTACCAAACATGTTTAATTCTGGTTCATTTAACCCACCAAGCCAGCCTTCCTTTTTAGATTTTGTCGAATCAATGCTTTCACAATTCTCAATCAGAGTCAATGCATTTCCTATGTAAAATGTTGCTAAAAAGGACCTACATTATTTTTAACCATTCGATTTCTGGCCTACAACCCATTTATTTCATAGATGTTTTGAATAAAAAACATTGTTGCATCCTTACATCCGATTACATGTATGTATTTTGGCTGAAAATGAAAAATATAGAAACAAGACACAGAAATTCCAGCAGTGTTCGTTAATTTTGAGTTACTTCCCTTAACTTATTATTATTATTCACAATGATCAAGAGTTTCTATCATGTAATTTACGTTATTGGAAACAAATTGTCATAAATATATTTGCATGGGTTTATTTGAACTTTTATTCATAGTTACTAAATGGTGCCTCCTTCATATGACCTATAGAACTGTTCTTATCCGGTTATTAGCCTAGCTTTCGCTACTTTCAGCACACTTCGCATCTTTGCCCTAGCTGCCATAACTATGGTAAATGACGACCTGTTGACTGTCTGCCCTTTTAGTTTACTTAAGGAATAACTGTCTTATTTTTCGATTTCATGATGTGATCAATCGATTGGGTTGCGTGATAATTTGTATAAACGCCAAAGGCGTTTATACATAAAATTATCATGCAAGCCAATTGATTGATCATTGTGATGAAATTGAAAAATCTGACAGTTATTCCTTATATTTACATGCTTTGATTCCGCCAATCCATATGTTCCAAGTCCTGCTTCTGTCTAGCTGTTTGTTCCACCCTGCACGTGTTTTTTTTTGGAACCGCGCCAATACATTGATGGGGAAATAAAGTACATTTACAATTTGTAATTTTATCTCCGACAAAGACATTGGAAGTGTAAATATACAATGTATAACAAAGCTATCACTGCTTTTCTTTCTTGCATTATAGTTGATTGATCCTTTAAAAAACATTTGCTTTTGTTTACATCTGTAAAGACTTTATTTACTTCCACAGCCTAGAGAATTCCAAATGGGAGATCACTCTCAATGACTGTTTTTATAAAGGGAAAAACTTATGTATTAAACCTTTTTTCTCCGGAAACCCTGCCTTGCCAATGACCTTAAAGAGGAATCTATGAGGAGTTTATTGAGGACCAATGAGATTTGACCTACTTGTCTTTGTCCCTTTGACCTTCTGTCATTGACCCTTTGACCTACTTGTCTTTGACCCTTTGGCCTACTTGTCTTTGACCCTTTGGCCTACTTGTCTTTGTCCCTTTGACCTTCTATCTTTGACCCTTTGACCTACTTGTCTTTGACCCTTTGGCCTATTTGTCTTTGACCCTTTGACCTACTTGTCTTTGTCTCTTTGACCTACTTGTCTTTGACCCTTTGACCTACTTGTCTTTGTCTCTTTGACCTACTTGTCTTTGACCCTTTGACCTACTTGTCTTTGACCCTTTGACCTACTTGTCTTTGTCCCTGATCTGCTGCATACGCTTCTTGTCCTCTGCCAGTCTTCCCCCGAGCTGTGTGTAGTTCTTTTTAGCAATCTCCAACATCCTCTCTAGTTCAGACACTCGATTCTTGGCCCTGGCTGCAAACATATATTACATTCATAAGCATACTCCAAAACAAAAATTACATTTATAAGCATTTTCCACATATATCTTATAATCTGGACTAGTGAATTAATTCTCTGGGAACAATGAATACCTTCTACTTTAGGTAACACAGAGAAAATAAGTTTCATCTCAGCATCACATTACAGAGAACTAAGTACAGAGAAAAAGTTACATACTTCAATTCATGACTTTATGACTAAACCCTCTGAGAATATACTGAGTATGTGTTAAGGAGGATACATGTTTTGGGGAAACTTACACCTAGCTTCCTGTTTCTGCCTCTCAGTCTGGGCCACTCCCCGCCCCTCAGTGCTGGCCTCTACATCCTCCTCTCCATCTTCTTCATCCTCCCCCACCACCACTGAGGTGTCCTCCTCTGTAAACACAGACACATTCCAATAAAACTCACCAACCATTATAAAGGACCATACCAGTATTCATTATGACATTTGCCAACAGACTGAATGAAAGAACATCTTCACATATATGTATTAATTTAGCTATCTGACTATGAAACAATATTATGCAGTCTCAGAGCACTAGCTTCAGTGAAATTTTTCACATTTCAGTATCATATTTCAAATTGCAAGAACTAATTCTACGTATTTCTTAGAAATTCTGTATACCTGGATCCCCTCCTAGGAGCTTTACACAGGCCAGCTGACCGAACCTTCTGGCCACATCCCTGGGGGTCTCTCCTGCCTGGTTAGTGATGGTCATGTTGGCTCCCATCTCCACTAACCACTGAAGAACATGGAGGTGACCATTTCCAGCAGCTACAATATAGAAAAAATTTATTTGGTTATTTGTTTACTGGATTATGCTATGTAAGTATAGAGAAATCTGACGTTTAACATAGGGTGAATTCACCATGCATCGGATACCCTTGTACTTCAATAAGTTCTAGCGATATCGCTACCGAAGGAAAATTATCAAAATGGACCTCAACATTTAGTTTGTGATTAAAATATCAATTTAGGACACAATTATATGCCTTTTATTGAGAAAATATCCCCCAAAATCGAGTTTTTAGGAATAACTGAGAATTCACCATGGATCGGACATTGTTCACCATGCATCGGACCGACGGTATTGAAAACGGAAAAATATGTACCTTTATCACAGTGCTTTAAAATCCTTGATATGGGTATATTTTCATCTTTTATCTAAGAAATAACCCTCATCTAAAATTTAATTGACGATATAGTTGCACAAATGTAGAACGATTCAAGATACATCGCTCTGCCCTAGAAATGCTTTAAAATGCTTAGAATGCGGTAATTCGCGCCTTTTTTCTCATGGTTTATCATACTCTGGTTTGTAGAAATAAATTGAGTCAAATTCCAGACGTCATATATCAATAACTTGTATTTTGACTGAAAATATAGAGTCTTTATTTTCTTTTTCCGCAAAAAACAGCTGTCAGCTGGGTTCTGTATGAAAATGGTAGTGCTTACCTTTGCATCGAAAAGTGTCCGATGCATGGTTAATTTGTGTCCGATGTACGGTGAAATTAGCATACTAGTAAAAACCAGCTCTAATAAGAATTAAACAAACATTGAAGTGAAATTTCTTTATAATTTACCCGTACGAAACAGTCCGGGCGGCTTAGACACGGCTCAGGCACGGATTCCGTTTCCAAAAACCCGTGCTTTAGCATTCCGTGCTCCTATGTAAAGTATGTATGGAAAGCCGTGCCTAAAAGTGGTCGAGGCACGGACACGGCACGGGATATTGGCCGAAATATTTAAATGAGATCACACGGTTTTAGAAAACCCATGTCAGAAAGCCGTGCTAGTTTCCATATATGGACTCACAGATTCTGTAAACCCGTGTCTGAAACCCGTGTCCTTTTCCATATATGGAGACACGGTTTTTTGTAAACCCGTGTCAAAAAGCCGTGCCGTATACCATATAAGGAGTCACGGGACCTGTGCATTTGTTTAGATCTAGGTCATGGCCTTTAGAGACTGTGGATGCCAAAATGGTGACTGAAACCGAACTAACTTCACATTGCTTTACATATTATTTGCTTAGTTTTAAAATTTCAAAAGTTAAAAATCTTATATGAATGTGTCCATTTACTTTCTGTTAAAGATTAACTTTATCAGTTACAATCCATGCTAGTTTTTAATTAAGATTTAATGATAATGTACAATATTCAATTGTAATCTAATCTAGTAGCTAAGTTTGCACAATCTGAGAAAGAATTTAGTTTAAATAAAACTTTCACTAGCACAGTGATGTCACATAAAATATATACTATAAAGGATTAGTGAAAGTCCAACTTAAGTCATTCAAATAAACATAAACTATTTCATCATTTGTTCATTGTCAACTCGCAATACAGGAAGATCATGAAAATTGAAAAATTGACTTATTTATTCTAGATTACACTTACTGCATTTAGTTCAAAAGTGAAGAAATTATCCCAGACTGACATAAATACAATTCCAACTGACATCTATTTGTTAAATATCCTTTAAATAGAGCAAAAAGACACACTGACTTAGCTCATGACCATGAATCCCTCCAATTTAATATTCAAATAAAGGAAGTTATGATTGAGCATGCTCAGTAAAAAGCCGTGAGATATAAATAAATAGTTTGAACCAAAACCCGCCTTAGTTAAAAACCGTCTCCCTGGGACACGGATTCCGTGCCTCCACACGGGTTTCTGTGAGCGAGGATTCCTCACTTTCAGATACGGAAGCCGTGTCCGTGTCTTGGACATGCAGAACCCGTGCGGCTTTTTAAAAACCCGTGCGGATTCCGTGTCTTAGCCGTGCCCATGCCGTGCGTATTCCGCCTCGAACTTTCGTACGGGTATGTAAAATTACCAATCCCTGACAAAATTCACCAAAGTCCGACTCGTTCCGAGGAAGTCGAATTTAAAAGAACGATAACTCTGAAAATTGCAAAATCATAAATTTCGGGTTATTCCCCTTTGATGATGTAAAATATGACGTAACTTCAAGGCCATTTGTGGGGTATTTTTATCACAACATGACAAACACAATCGGTATCATTAAAAAATTTAAATCTTCATCTTTACGACAGAAACAAATAAATACACAGAACTCTTAAGTTGAAAGAGAGTTTATTGCCTAAAGTTGTCCGAAGCAAGGTATGTGTCCGATGTATGGTGAACTCACCCTAAATGAATTTGATTTCTTGCTCCTGTCTGTATTTGACACCCTTACCTTTGTGAGCTGGGGTGGCCCCTTTCTCGTCCCTTTCATTAATGTTGATTACTCCATTTTCCACTAACATGCGTAGGTGATCTAAGTCCCCTGTGTATGCTGCCACATGAGCTGGGAATGCTAAGTCTAACAGAGAGAAATAAAATAAACTTTAGCAGATCTGATTTATTTAATTAATACTATAATTACTGAATGTATAAAGGAGAGCTCTCAATATCCTCAAGATGTGAACCTCCACAAAATATAATGATTCCAAAGCAGTTATGCGTAAAGTCAGTACATACTTTCTGCCTCTTCTGGGTGGTCCCTTTCCCATTCTATCCCGTTAATATACTCCACTATGACATCCTTGTAGAACTGCTGGGCCAGATCTTTGGGCGTCTCCCCCTGATCATTCCTGGCACCCAGGACATGTAGAGGGTTAACACCTGTACTGACTAGATACTTCAGGCAGGGCAGCTGTCCTTCTCCAGCAGCCAAGTGAGCTGAAATTACCAAGGTAAAGAAAATCACAACATTCTGCAATAAAGTATCATAACACTGACATAAAACTAACAACATAACATGGATATCTCAAAGACCATGGACATATGTCAAAGTAAGTCCAAGTCACATAATTTATTAAGTGTTTACCCTCAATATCTCAAACATTAAGATATTTCAAAGCTTTTCCTCTGTCCATTCATATCATTTGATTAAGATGAGTATTGACTATAATTATATAAATCGCTACAATTATATATTTTATCACTTGACTATTTTTTGCATTCTGTACACAATAAATTATCTTTTCTATTATTCAAGAAAACTGTATTTTTGTTTCATAGATCTCTCAAAATTACCGTACATTTAAATAAAGTTCATTCACAATACAGAAGTTCACAATGTTGAGAAGAGAATGCCTGAAACGTATTTGCTGTCTTCATCTTCAAACCATCTTCTATGGAAAATATGCTAAAAGTTTTAAAGTAGTACCTGGTGTGTTTCCAACCTTGTCCACTTCATCTATATTTGCTCCCCATTTGATCAATAACTGAAGGCAGCCCAGACGACCGTGATACGCTGCTGAGTGAACCAAGCTCCAGCCAAAGTTGTCTGTTGCATTCACATCCTTTATAATTAAGATTTTAAATTAAAGTACATGGTGAATATGTTCTTTTCTGTAAGATAGAATATAAATGAATCATATTCTTCACTAATAAATATTCTGAGTATCAATGTATAATAAATATAGACTTACAATTCCAGCCCTTAAGATTGTGTTGAGTGTGAAAGAGTTTCCATGAGCAGCTGCTAGATGAGCAGGAGTGCTTCCCCTTGAGTCTTTTGAAGACATGCTGACTCCATTATTTACCAGTGCCTGTATATGTGAAAACATGATATGATAATATGATATTATACAAGTATAACAAGTGTCTGATGTGACTTACTAAATTCTTCAGTTTACACTAAAATTTGGCTTTTATAAAAGAGGAGAAAAGACAATTATCAAGATCACCTTAATTGATTTGATAATTACCTGCATGCAGGCATCTTGGCCTCTGATTGCTGCAATGTGGGCTGGGGTCCACCCTCTTGTTGTGGTCACTGTGGCATCAGCTCCATGCCAAAGTAACCAATGAACACACTGCAATATATACATAAATATGTAGATAGGTGCAAATAGTGCATTCCTTGAAAGATATTTTTTGCATAACTTAACTGTAAGTTCTTTTGAAAAACAGGACCCAGAAAGTTACCAGAAACGTTACTGTAAACTAAATGCAGTGATTTCTGTATACAGGTAAACTTTGTTATCTCGACATCAACGGGACAATCAGAAATTGTCGAGATATCCGAGGTGTCGAGATATCAGAGTTGAGACTTGACATCCTTAATTTTACTGCATAGTAAAACCATAGACCTAAATTAAACAGACGTGTAACTACGTACATGGCTTCAATAGACTGTAGCTAGTTTGTTTCAGCTATCCCTCTATATTTATTAAAAAATCTAGGAAGTTATTCACCAATGTAATTTATGAAATGCTTCCTTTTTTATCGAAAGCTTCTCATTTTACTTAAAAGAGATCTCCATCCAGCGTTCCGCGTGGAACTTGCTCTGTCAGAACAGGATACGAAATGCACTCTATAAACTTCGAACTGTAACGGTATAAAGTCGACTTCCATGATACGGAAAAAAATTAATTTTTTAAAATTTATTTAATTTTTTTAATTAATTTATTTCACTTTTATTTTTCATTTCATTTTCAAACCAAAATTTTAAAACAAACTTAATGTTGTTACACATGCATTTATATTACGTACGGCTGATTCATTGTAGTCATGCATGTCGTAGATTTGATTGTTTCCTGTTAAATGCATTTTAACTACAATTTTTTTGTTAAATTGAATTCATTGTGTATACTAGTAATCATTGTAGTTCAGCTATATTTCTTTTTTTAACAAAATGTTAAAGTTTTGTTAGATTTCAACATAAATAAACGGTTGTATGCGCAGAATCGAGAAGATTTATCAATGATATTACCCAAGCTGAACATTAAACAATTAACGTCTCAGAGACGCTGAGGGGGCTTGGGATTCCTCTACAAACATACATTTCCACAGAGGCAGTATGTAGTCAAAACATGGGTGTGAAGGGTGTGAATTACTGACGACGTCAAGATAGACAGAGTTCTCCAAGCATGATGAACAACCAGCTTACAAACAATTCTGTTAAGCAGAGCAGAAAATTGCCCGGATGTCCACATATACCAGGTAAATTCTGCTATTGGGACTGTGAAATACGTCGAGATAAGCTGGGTAGTCGACATTACCGAGGTCGACATACCAGAGTTTTTGCATATCATTTATAAAGTAAATAATGCCGGGACCGCGAACGGACATCACCATATCCCAGGTTGTCGACATATCCGATGTCGAGATACCGCAGTTTACCTGTATTTTCTTATTCATTTTATTGAAACTTGTCCTATCCATTGAGTTTGTTCGAAACCACGCAATATTGTGATTGATATACAAATTACATGTAACACTGTAGCATTAAAATTTATAAATCAAACATAAGATGACATAATAGTTCAAGTGTCTGTAAGGGCAATCTAATTAAAATGAAAGAAAAAGTGAGCTAGCTCACATACCCCACGCTCCCCAAAAACTTGATTGTGAAACACATAATGAAAGGCACAGCCAGTGCACTTTTAATACATAGTATAGATCAAAAACGGCAATAATTGCAAAAAAATCTTCACATCAAAATGTCTTGCATATGAGGACATTTAAATGTGGAATGAAGTTTCTAGATAAATAATGGAATCAAAATTTCTTGGCATTATACAAATCCAAACATTAATTTGAAGTGATTGGGGGGGGGGGGGAGAAATTTTCTTGAATAATAGGCAAAACTCTTTGGGATAAAATAATGGAATATGTCCTAAATATCTGCATAGGTTGACGAAACTATGTACAACAGTTTAAGAGAAGTAGTGCTGACAAACTGTTCATCTGTATATTCAAAATATGGCCAAAAAGTCTAAGTTGGAAAGTGTGGAAATTCCCGGAAAAATAAAGGAAATCGGAATTTCCTGGTAATATGCACATCTACATATTGTGTCCTAAATATCTGCAAAGTTTAACGAAATTCTGTGCAGTGGTTTATGAGGAGTTGCACTGACAAACTGTTCATCTCTATATAAAAGGTATGGCCAAAAACCTAAGTTTTTAGTGCGGGAAGTCCCGGAAAAAATAATGGAATCGGAATTTCCTGGTAATATGCACATCTACATATTGTGTCCTAAATATCTGCAAAGTTTGACGAAATTCTGTGCAGCGGTTTATGAAGAGTTGCGCTGACAAACTGTTCATCTCTATATAAAAGGTATGGCCAAATGCCTAAGTTAAAAAGTGTGGAAAGTCCCGGAAAAAATAATTGAATCAGAATTTCTTGGGAATATGCACATCTACACATTGTGTCCTAAATACCTGCAAAGTTTGACGAAATTCTGTGCAGCAGTTTATGAGGAGTTGCGCTGACAAACTGTTCATCTTTATATTCAAGGTATGGCCAAATGCCTAAGTTAAAAAGTGCGGAAATTCCCGGAAAAAATAATGGAATCGGAATTTCCTGGTAATATGCACATCTACACATTGTGTTTTAAATATCTGCAAAGTCTGACGAAATTCTGTGCAGCGGTTTATGAGTAGTTGCGCTGACAAACTGTTCATCTCTATATTCAAGGTATGGCCAAATGTATAAGTTAAAAAGTAAGGAAATTCCCGGAAAAAATAATGGAATCGGAATTTCCTGGTAATATGCACATCTACACAATGTGTCCTAAATACTTGCAAAGTTTGACGAAATTCTGTGCAGCGGTTTGTGAGGAGTTGCGCTGACAAAAAAAAGAGGACTGACTGACTGACTGACTGACGGACTGACTGACGGATGGGTCAAAAACATACCTCCCGCAACTAGTTGCGTGGGGTATAATTAGATATTAGATCCGCTCGCATACTCGCTACACTAGTGTAGTGAGTATATACGAGCGGATCTAACATCTAATTTTAATTAGATTGCTGTAAGGGTAAAGACAAATGATGGATTAGGTCGGGGTGGGTTTACACAGTGGGCTTACCTCTAGTGCCCCACTATTACAGGCAGTGTGTAATGGAGTAAACTTGTCTGCCTCCTCTACTTCGTTTATACTGGCACCATTTTTCACCATAGACTCCAGTTCCAGTACATCACCATTTTTAACGGCATCGTGGATACCGGAGTATCTCTTTTGGGCTGTATTAATTTATGTTTTTTGAAGATGAAATTTAAGAATGAACATATAATTCAAAGATTCTTTTGCTCTTGATTAAACTGCATGTTAAAAATAAAACCATTTCCCATACTAAATAATTATTTTCGAGATTCCCGCGTCAAATAGAAGGAAACATTTTATTTTTTCTTATCTCATGCCTTAAATTTTGAAAAATTATGGATAAACAACGAATAAACTTAAAATTAATGACAAAAAAACTTACCTGGCATTCTGGTTGCCAACAAACTGTTTTGCCGGAAGTGTATTTTAAGAGTTTCGCAGTAAAGATAACCGATTTTGATATTTATTTTTTTTGAAAAAAATGAAAGGACAAAAAAGAGTTTAGAGATAGAAAACTGATTAAAAATTATGAAAATGGTTCAATTATTCTGAAAATGTTAAATTTATTTGAGCAAATCAGTTAACCGGAAACGCAGGTGCGCGGAATAGTCCCGCGGTTAATGTCAAATGCACGTGTGCTGAAAAAAAATCAAAACATAGCCCTTTTCAGGATTTCTAAGTACAGTTAGTTTACGTAGTTTACTTTTTTGGCACGATATATTATACTGGCTTATAATGTATGCAAAATGATAAGTACAAAGAAGTATCTGTACTTTTCATCAACATTTTATTCTACATGTGTGGCATGTGGTGACTTTTTGTGAAAAGGGGGAGGGTAGTTGTTCTGCATTGTTGAAATTCTCAGAATTTTGTGACAACTGAAATGAAATATTTTTTTTATAAAATTAATATTTTCAGAATTAGCCAAACAGGACAAATGCATGGGTTTCCGAGGTTTCAGTGTCCAAATGGCTCCAACTTTGCTCCCAGGTTTCATCACAGAGGACCTTCTCCGAATCAACATAACTTCTACACCCCACCGCGTCAGCCTTCACCAAGACAGCAAGTCTCTTACTCAGACATGAATGTCTTCAGTAATGGTCCAAGAAGACCACAGACAGCAAACTTTGGCAAGAATACCTTTCATTCTCCCCCAAACTTTAATTCGCCGCCTCCTAGACACCAGGTTTCCTATTCAGATTCTAACATGTTTACGCCAAATTCTGGACAACAGCAGGTCAAAAATGGAGATGGTATTCAACACCAACAGTTTAATCCACAGTGGCAAAGCCCTCCTCCAAGATTTACTCCTCACCAACAGAATGGACACCCCTGGCAGAATAACAGAAATCAAAATTGTCAGTGGGGAAATACTTCCCAAAATGGAAATAACTTGAATTGCCATAAGAATTTCACAAGCAGTGGTGTCGATGGTTTTACAACAAATCACAACCAGAAAGGAAACAACAAGAAACCTTGGTCCAATAATATCTGGAACAATCTTCCAAAAGATTCCAACAGGAACCCGGAACACTTTCAGAAAAAGGTTAGTGTTACATTTAAAATCTGTTAGCAATTTCATACTGAACTTTATTATTTTTTTAAGAAGATGTTTTACTTCATTTATAAATACGATGTGAAATTGAGTATATGATATACAAATGTATGCAGTAAAGCAGTAGTGTACATATGTATGTCTTTACAGTATGTATGCATGGAAAATGTACAGAAATGATTCATTGCAATTGAATTCATATTGAATTTTCATAAGATTTGTGAATCATTAAAATTATCATTTGTTTTGATATAGAAGAAAAAGCCTAAAGTAGATAAAAGAGATCTGGCTGAAAATAATGTTTATTTCTGTGACACTTGTGACAGAGGATTTAAAATGGAGGAGAAATACCAGGAACACATTCAGAGTCATGTCAAAGTAAGCATTACGTGTAATGTCCTATATGTTTCAGTTTTGCAGTGACACATACCTTTATTCTTGTTTTATATTTTAAAAATTAAAACCTTTTTATCAGGCTTTTAATGATGAAATAATATTTCAAAAGTATTAATTTTTGAGATCCATCAAATGAAATATTAATTTTGGTGTGCTGAACCTCTGCTAGTCTGCTTATAATAATCATTTGATCTTAATTGTAAAAATTAATCTTTATTTTTAGTGTCAACATGAAGGTTGTTCTTATACAGCTCACCCAAAGCTTGTAAGACTCCACAACAAAACAGTGAGTAAGATTGCTGTCATTGAATGGGCAGAAACTTCATTTTGGGGAACATTTTTTTATGAAATGCATTTACATTTGCATGTATTTGCTGACTTTTGAAAATTTCTATAAAATAGGCATTCAACAACATAATTTATGATCTTGTTGATTTTAGCAACATTATAGTGGACTGGCATCAAAGATCTGGAAACTGGAGTCTCCTGAGGACATTGAAAAATGGAGACAGGAAAGGAGAAAGTAAAATTATATATAATTCTTCTTCTACACTCTTTTCAAATACTTCATATAGAAAATGGATCTGAAATGGTTTATGTTTCATGAACATTAAAAATTGATTCATGCAGAAATTTTCCAACTGCTGAAAATGTTCAGAGAAAGAAAGAGATTTTGGAGGAGAAAAGAGCCAGAGGTGAAGTTATAGAGACTAAAACATTTGGGTGAGTTAATTCAGCAAGGAATCATTTAAAACTGATATGTGGATATCTGCATTTACAATATATTGTAGATTCCTCTCCAGCTTGTAAATGATCCCAGAGTAAAATTATATGTCAGTAAAATTGTATCTAGTTCTAGCAATTTTGAATTGTATAATTAGAAACTTACACATAAACAGTAAAAAAAAAAAAAAGGTATGGAAATTTCAAAATTCTGTGAATGTGTGTATATATGTTCAACTAAAATAATATTAATGACATCATAAATTGTAGTAAAATGAGAAATAAAGATGGAAAAAGAGAAAGATTTGGAAGAGGGAGAAACCAGAGACAGAACAATAGGAAAAACTTCTCAGAAGAAGATGTTAAAAAGGAAAGTCCCCCAAAGTTAGAGGTCACCATTACAAAGGTAACAGATCAAAAGCAGAGTTAACTTTTGGATGCTACCCACTGCTCACTCTTTTTATTAGAAAACATGTGTTAGTAAAAATATCTAGGTCTGAACTTAAAAATCTAAAATTTGTGCTTTGTTCAAATGTTCATCTTTCAAGATCATAGCCATCTTCGCTAGCCAAGGGTTTCCGATCCGATACCTACTCTACAACCCTTGGCAGATTTAGTCCTATCAATCGGGAACTTTGATTGCGCCACCTATCGCCATAATTGAGTTAAGTCCCTTGAAGCTCTTTAATATTTGTCCAATGAAAATAGCTGTAACATACGTAGATCAATAGGATGTTTGAAACAATATGGCGACCTCCATGTGGAATATATCCAAACAACTTCATACAGCTGTGGGCAGTGGGCACACCTCAAAAGTGGTAGAAAATATCCTTCTTCGTGGATTTTTAGTCAAGATTTTGACACTACTTTCTACTTGTTGCCGTATCAATTATTATCAATGAGCCGTGACATTTGATTGGCTTAAATTGATGCACCTAAAATGCGGAACACGGACTAATGTGGTCCTTTCAATAATTCTTGAAAACATATATAATTAAAAGAAAAAAATTCAAAATAATTAATCCCTCGTTTTTTTAAGCATAGATCACGTCATAACTTTCATTCCTTGTAAATATTACTTTTATTTTGCATAAAACACGAACAGACTTTAATTCAGCCGAAAATCGTCGATTAGTAAAAACCTTGCGTAGACTCGGACTTCGCAGCCAATCAAATTCGTTTGCACAAGTTCTAAAATTTTCGGCCAAATCTGCCAAGGGTTGTAGAGTAGGTATCGGATCGGAAATCCTTGGCTAGCGAAGATGGATCATAGCATACATGTCTATTTTTTTTAAACAAATCTGAGATATTTTATTGAAAACAAACTCAATCTAATATTATTTTTTATCAACAAAAGAAGTGTAAATTTACTATCAGTTGAAACTTTCGCCATTTACATCCTTAACAAACACTTTTACTTGTAACCTGTTTTAGGAAAATGTTAAGAAGGAGGGTGTGAAGAAATTTGATGGTGACCCACTGTCAATGTTAGAGGGATTGGAGGAAGTTGTGCCAGAATCAGACAAACCAGTCTCAACCATAGGGGGACTTGCTGCATTGATGGCCAACTACAGTGATAGTGATGAGGAGAAAGCCACACAAGCAGACACACAAACAAGTTAGTGTTACAATCCTGTCCAAGCAGTTAAAGGAAAGCAAAACTGAGGATAAAAATGTAGAAGATTTCAATATACTGATATTTAGGCTATCTAAATTTAATTCCTTGGTTCTCAGGCCAATTTTCTCCAAAACAGATGCGGGAGGGCGGCATTTTATTTTTCATTTTATTGGCAATAAATTAGATGAGGGAGGTATTTTTTTAATTTTAATTTCCAAATTTTCTTAAACATAAAGATAATTTTTTTTAATCACAGATATACTTTCCATTTCTGGTCAAAATTACTGCTTTATCCAATGCTTAACAACGTGTAAATATCGTAGGTAATGTCCTTGAATGTATTTTCAAACGAAGAAGCCAAAATCTAATTGTAAATGGCTACCGGAAGTGATATTTGAATACTAAACTACGAAACAAATGAGGTCGGAATTTTTTTTCCCGGATTGGTCTCCGCAATATCAACTTTTTATTTTATCAAAACTACAATAAAATCGGCAATGCGGCTACCTCAAAACAGATGCGCGCGGGCCTGAGAACCAAGATTTCAATTTTATTTGGCCTTATGTAATGTTTTTTTTTTCCCCCAGACAAACCTGTCATTGTTGACGATACTGAACCTGTGGAGGAGAGCCTGTCTGGTGAAATGAAGAACAAAAGATCACGAAAACGAAAGAGACAGAGAAAAAATGGCCAAGATGGTGACTGCAGTAGTCAGCCCAAAGTCCGCAAGTCTACCCTACTGGAAAAGGTAGAAACACAATGTTGTGTAATGCTTGATGTTACTGCATTAGTAATTCAAATAGTTTTCATGTGTTGATTAGTTGAGAATGTCCTTTATGCTTGGTATCATTTACAAATATAGTGTGTTCAAGAATGAAAGAATAGCTATGCATATTTTGATAACATTATTTAGTGCCTTAATTTATACAGTCAATTCCTGAATTATCACCATTTTCGCAATACCGCCATGATTTCGCAAGAACATTTTTCCTGCTATATAAAATTCTCTTTATAACGCCAAATTTGCATACCGCCATCCGCCACCCTGTTTTCACAACAAACGTCCATTTCTAAGTTTCAATTATCTCGATATACTGCCACAGGTGCGTGTGGTCAGTGGAACGCGGCTAATTGGTTGACACTATCCCTGTTGCAAAGCATGCAAAGGCAGACAAGGTACATGTAATTAAGTAATTAAACAAGAACTAAATAAACAAAGATTTTAACATGAACTATTATAATAATTTCGTTTTCTGTTTAATAAAATCATTTCGTCACGGCTTTGCCACGAAAGCGGTCGTTGTTAAAGTGCGCTGATAACTATATAATTTAGTTGATCTCTGCTTTAAACATTGCAAAGTTTGCTGAAAAAATAATTATACGGTATAAATTGTGAATGTTTAATTAACAATGTTGCCATAAACAATAAATTTATTCAAGAATTTATTTTACTTACTATTGCAATATATCACGACGATCGACCCAGCATTTTTTTTTTTTCAATAGCAGAACTGCAGATTTAAATGCACACCCATGTACTTGTCTTTATATCATAACTGCACATTTTGTTTTAGCGAATTTGTACATTAAAAGAATTACTTGAAGTATTTTGAATCAGAAATACTGTACATGTATGTTTTTATATACGTGTACATGTAATGATAAGAATAGAAACCCTAAATGGTATTTCTAAGAACGATAACTCTACTTCTTGTTTTCCAGAAGATGGGAAATTCAATTCATCGCCAAATTCATTATACCACCATGATTTCTAAATTACAAAAGGTGGTGGTTTATCGAGAATTAACTGTACATGTGAAGTGTTATATTGATAAATTAACATTTGTAACTGCATGCAGCTTGATTATTGCTGACTTTAATTACACTATTAGACAAACCATCTTCCCAGAAGTTAGGTGAATACTTATACAGTGTTTATGTAGACCTTATCTATCACTATTACTGCATGTACCGGGTATATTATTATCTTAAATAAGGGTAAGGGTTATTTTTTAACAGGTCATTTGCACCCTATCACACTCGCAAACCATTTTGTTCCATGCATTTTGAATTCTCTTTTTCCATTCTTTTATTAAGGCAGCAATGAGTTATGAAAATCCTAAATTTACATCCATTGTATTTTCAGCTGCTGGCCCCTGACATAAGAAGAGAAAGGAATCTGATTCTGCAGTGTGTGTATCATATCGTAAAGGAAAACTTCTTTGGAGTCGGGAATCCTAAAGAGGGAGATTCTCAAAAGCCAAAAATCACAGCGAATGACAAAACTGATAATCTTTTAATTGAAAAAAGTGAAACTGATGGTGAAAGTAATGTCGTGAAAAACTGTAAAGCAGAATCTTTCACAGAAATTTCTGCAGAAGGAACTGAGGTTGGAGAACTGGTCCATGCACAGAACAGACTCACAAACTCTGATGTAGTGGAGAAACTAGATTTGACCAGAAATGAAGACACTGAGTGCATTATTGATGATTGTGCCTGGGAGTGAATTGTTCTTACTGTTAAAATGATCTGTTGATAAAGAATATCAAGTCATTAAATATTACTTGTTACATTTTTATGCAAGTTTATTCTTTCTGTTTTAATTTTAATCTTGAGATCTAAGGTTAGGCTCTGTAGTCATGCAGAAACAGCTTGAGTCTATTGGACATTTTGGAAGAAATATTTACAAGTAGGCAGATTAATGCATTTCATGACATTTGTTAATGACTTGGTGAACAAAATTTCATATTTAATTGTTATGACCACAAATAATATTTAACATATTTTTTAAATGGAACTGGTTTATTTGAAACAAAGAAAGAGAGCATACAAGGCAAGGAGAATATCCCACTTTGAGAAAATATATTTGTCAGATTTTCAAAGTTCATGAAAAATTAGATTTTACTATGAATTAGACCACTAAAATTTATGTAAAATAATGTTATCTTCAACACATTTGATTCATTTATATTTTTTAACTACTTTTTTTTTTTTTATTAATAATCTGTTTTTAACAGTTTTAAAATAGTTTGTAGAAAATGGGTTAATTAGAGCCATAAAAAAAAAAATGAATTTTGAACAGGTGTCAAGTCTCCATTCTTCTTCAATCTAAAGAATGATGGAAATTAAATGAAATATAAAGTCTATTTCATGTTTCAAAGAAAATATAACTGAAAATATGAGAGCCAAACTAAAAGTTCAGATCGTGTGTGAATCTTTCTTTATATCTTTATGTGAGTGAAAAATAAATTATTTTTCAATAATTTATTAAAAATATATTGACAGTAATTTTTTTTTTTTTGGGAGGGGGGGGGGATTAACTTTTCATGAACATTAAGAATATATTTAAAAAATGTTTTTTCTTAGAGTGTGGTATTGTCCTTGCTTTGTACAACTCCTTTTTTACAGATCCAAATTTAGCTTTTGATAAACCTTAATTGCTATTTATTACTCCAACAGTTTTCATGAGTCTGCATTTTAGGATGCATGATACACGTACATCATCACATGAAAATTTTATAAACTCGATCTCTGCTCCCTGTTCAATCAAAGTTCTGGTTCAGACATTAATATTTGAAGTTTGTAGATATATGCATCTTGCATAATTTGGTCCTTCAAAAGCTTATTTCTATGAATGCAGAGGCCTATATAGTCTAACATCAATTTTTAGGAAAAGGAATCTTTTACGTACGATCTATCAAACACCTGAATTTAAAGCGTCTAATCGACATTGATTGTTGGCGGGATCAGAGGAAATTCAGAACATGCAATGAAAAGAAAGCATCCAGAAAAAGGGTAAAAATGGGGGAAAATGCGAAAATGTTATAAAATGATACAAGTATTTAAGCAAATGATAAAGCCTGGTAGTGTGCGTGTTATGTACGATTATTTTAGTGTCTTTATGTGCTTAAAGGACTTTATTCGGTAATAACCAATATTTGCCCCCCAAATCAAACTTTGATGGAGATATATCTAATTAAGTTCTTAAACAGGGGAGGATATGCTGACTTCAAAGCACTGAATATTTTCATAAGTAATGACGCCATATGTACGTAATGACGTCACAAACATGACGTAATTTTCAGTTTTTTATGAATTTTACAGAAAAATGTACATATTTCGTCGATATTTTGAGTAAAAGTCACCGAGCGCACGTGTGTTCAGGATCAATATTTTGATATAATGTGTAGAATGATAATATCAATGAAATATGCCAATATTGTTCCTGAACAAACTTGCGCTCTATTAATTTTAAAGCTAAAATTGTTGAAATTTTGTCCATTTTGTTCTCTTTCTGAAAAAGGATATAAAATCGGACTAGTTTGTGACGTCATAAAAACAAAAACTGTGAAAACACTGCTTTGACACTGTAATATTTTCTGTTAAGTTATATTTCTCATACAATTTATTGAATTCAGCACATTTCAGGAAGTTTTCAAAATTTGACTTTTGTGGGGGCAAATATATGCAATATACCGCATATAGTTCTTTAGTAAATAATCAACTGAGTGTAATTTAATGAAAAAATGGGTTCCCGTCTTTACATGAATTAAAATTTTAACGTTAAATTATAACAGGTTACAGTCCATCACAAAGTTTTTCAAAACATCAGAAAGTCAACAAGGTATGTTTTGAGAATTTTCAGAGATGTATGTACATCACTTAGAATTAACTAGATTACTAAAAAGTGATTTAACAGGTCCAGGAAAATCACTAGCTACATAGCATAATTTACCTATATAGCTTTATTTACCTATATAATATAGCTTTATTTAGCTATATTAGAATAAGTTTTTGTTTTATGAAAAGCAGACGAAAAGTCGCATGAAAATTATGGCTGATATTTTTTTTAAAAAGGTTTGATAAAAACAACCTAGGGCATAGTAAAAACATTGCCTCTTTTAAACACTTTTTAACCAAAAAATGCATCTCTGTTGTTTGGATAGCTGTCCCTCACTGAAGTGTGACGAGGCGTGACTAAGTGTGATTGCCTTGCATTGTGCTGAATTATTACCAATCAATTATCTTGTTGACCAAAACTGCTTTTCTTTGTTAAAGTAGCTGCTTAATCACAGATTAACTGTTATACATAGCCCCAAAACTTTTAGATCTTTGATTGCAATTGCACATAAGGAGAAACATTTTTAAAAGTGGGTTTTTGGTGAATTGTTTTCAGTCCAATTCAAAGATGAAAACTAATACTGCCCCATTATGTGACTTTTTCTGCTTTTCATAAAACAGAAGCTTATTCTAAAATAGCTGAATAATATTATATAGGTAAATAAAGCTTTATAGGTAAATTAAGCTATATAGCTAAATATAGTGATTTTCCTGGACCTGTTTAAGATGCAAAGTTATGTTGTTATACTTAAAGTTATTTTATAGACATAAGCAGACTCTGTTGAGACAGGCAAAGATAATTTACCATCTGTAAAAATGGTAAAATAGAGACTACAGAGGCAGGATAAGCTGTATATTTAGTACTGTTGACATCTGATTCTATCAAAATACTGGTTTTCATTGAAATGCTCCACATTCATTAACAGATTTGGCTCAGATTTTTCAAGAACGCTGACTATGGTGAACTTATTAAAGCTGAACAAGATTCGTAAATAGGCATACACCATTTTATCTACAATACATTAACACCAGGGTATACTCTTCAGATTCGTCACACCTGAATGCTTTATTGTCACGGGTATTGGCTTGGAATGGTGACACATGTTCATGCTGGTTATCTTGCATTACCTTTGTTTACTTTTTATTGCAGTTGTGCATAGTTGTGTTTGTTTGTATACTGCACTGACCTGTGCAACTGTTGTAAGTGTCTTGGTATCTTACTTGCCTACATTGGAAGACGTACACAGTTATTTTTTGGCATTGCTGAGTGCTGGTGTATAACAAACGTTTGTGTACACTCACTCAGGTGACAATTCATTACACTGAAAAGTGACTAAGTGACCCGCTCTATTTATAGGGGCCTGCAGATATAGCAAGAGATCTCACAAATATGGCAGTCAAATTCTTTTTTACGAATCGTGTTCAGCTTTAACATTAACAAAATTCATAAAAATAATAAGTCTTACAGTGAAACTGTTATGGCAAATGCTGTTAATTTTTTCAATCTATACACATTTCCTTCTGAAGTGTTGTTTAACATTCTGTTTATGACAGTACACTTTTTGGTAAACCCCTTCAGCATGCTTTTACTGTGCATTGTACATAAAAGTTCATCTTTCTAAAAACAAAATTGAAATACAGTCTTCACAACAATTCTTTTTCAGCACATGTCCTTTGGGCATGTATACCGATCATTTTAACCCAGCCCATTGAAATTTGTACATGCCCTACTCAAAATTCATTCACATAGCAGATATGATTGTGCATCAAAAACTTAAGGTTATTATATTTACAATAAGGACAGTGTTTCTGTTTATAAATTCTCTCAATCTAAAGTTTAAATTGTTTTCAGAGTTTTAAATCAATGGTCTGCCTGTCTGTCATTTTCTTATGTGTTTTTGTTCACAACTTTTGACTCGCATGCTGGTCATTTGTTGGCTGGCTTAGCTGAACTGAATTACATAGCAGTTTACGCGAATAACTGGGGTATGACAGAAGTAATGGCAAGTAAACATCGTGAATCGAAAAAAAAATTCACACATGCCCTTCGGGCATATAATTTGAAAATTTTCACATGCCCGCTGGTATATTTGCCAGGTCCCGGGCATGGGGCACCCAGGTTATTTTGAAGACTGGAAATACATACATGATGTTTTCTCTAACACTGCAGACTTATACCATACATTGGGATTCCTGACTTCTCACAAACTTAAAAAAAAATTGGAATTACCTGAACTGTTGAAGTGACAAAAATATGATGTCATGAAAATTGCAATTAATTTTTGATTGTTTTCCTTATCTCTTGACCACTCATATTTCACCTTTCAGTGACAAACAGCCTGTTATGTGTGCATTGAGGTGTCATCTGCTTACTTTCTATTTATGCTTTAAGTCAATGAAGCCTGAACAATCTCAAGTGCTTGAAACCCATGTGGCATGTATGGAACTGTTTTAGTAACCTTTTGCAAATACAAGTATTATCTGTTATTGAATTCTGATCAGTTAAATTATGGAGAATCAATACCAGTAACTTGTGTGATTCCACAACAAATGTTTGAAAATCATATTAATTCAGTCATATACCAAATCCCTAATTATTAGATCTCCTACCTGTAACAATTCAATATTAAGAAAGACACTCTAAACCATATAGAGTCAATGCAAATTCAGAAATCATTTTATTGAATAAACTATGCATTGTTATAATATTAAAACCCACTCTGGCTCTGTGAGTGGAAGTCAAAGTCTTTTCATTATTTTTGATATAATGTAAAATTGGCATCCCCATCTTACAGCAGCTGCTTTAGATGCATTGGACTATACAGTGTATGTGGTTATAGAAGTTTACTAGCTTTATATTGAATGATCAGAAAGTTGTGATCAGCACATACTTGAGTTATTTGACTTTATCTGGCTTGTGTAAGGACTGCTAGGATAATAGGATATTAAAATTTTGTTAATGGTGAAGGTGCTATTGGTGGATGTCAACTAGCAGCTGATATATGACATGCAATTTACTAAAAAATGAATAATCTAATGTAGCTCTTAGTACTGACAATGTAAAGAATAATGATATTTCTTCAGAAAGATAACATTTTGTCTTGATGTTTCTTGCAACTTAGGTAAGTATGTTGATATTGTAGCTTTATTGCTTGTTTTTTAGTCACATTTGTGCAATAGAAAGTATTTATGCTTGTTCATGTATTGTTGCAAACAAAGTACTATATATGTATTTATTTGAAGAAAAAATATCTTGGCATCTTTGGCTTGATCCTTCTATTTCAAAAACATCAATCACCAAAATAGTTAAGTTTTTATAGATGAAGTACCGGTAGGTAGAAATACTGATGACCCAAACTATTCTGCACCAAATTTGAATACAATAGTACATATGTAGTACATTTTGTTTCAAAGATTTTTATGATTTTTGTTTTCTTTAGTTTATTGATCTGTATGCTGTATAAGTGAGCCATGAACCACTTCCGACATGTCTATAACTATAGGCATGATGAATATTATGAACAGCCCAGAGAATATGATAGATCTTCCTATGATCTTGCCAGAAGAGGCTACCCTTACAGAGAGAGGCAGATGCCACCTGGATATAACCAAGCACCAAGAGAGTCGGTGTATGATGCTGGTAGATACAATCCTAGGGAAAGGAATGCACATTTTCTGCAGGGGTCATATTCTGCAGATTTTGAGAGTGGGGCCCAGTGGAATGATTATTATGCAAGAAATTTTGAAGACAGGGTAAACATGACAGACTACAGAGAGTACAGAAATTCAGACAGAGTCTACGGAATCTCAGAAAGAGACAGAATTTCACAGAGAGGATATGGCATTTCAGATAGGGGAATTGATTCACAAAGAGGCTTTAGAATTCCAGAAAGAGGCAGAAATTCAAATAGAGGCTATGGAATGTTAGATAGAGGCAGCCATTTACAGAGAGATGTTGGAATTTCTGAAAGAGGCTATAGTAGTTATATTGAAAGGGGAACTTATCATGCTTATAGAAGTAAAAGACCATATTGGAAAGCACATGGACCAGAGGAACCTTATCACACGAGTGAGCCAGGTTACCACAGGTCAGATACTAGAGCGGGCTATGTGTTTGATGATTCACCACCAGAAAAGAAAACACAATCTGATAATTCCCAAACACAGTTAGGTGGGGAAACTGACCCAAATCAGATGTTTTCAAGAGGTTCACCTCAGAAAAAATCCCCAAGAGGTACTTTAAAATATCCTAAAATAAAAGCATCAGCTGCTCAAGAAATGTTGAAAACAAACCATGTGAAGGAAACCACAGGCAAAGAAAGCTCAGGAAATGGTAGTAAGACCATAGGAAATGTTCAGAAACAGAACTTGTCAACGTATAAAGAAAGCTTAAGGTGTCACTCAGGCATAGCTAACATAAAGGACCAAGGGTTAACAAGTAAGACAGGTGCTTGTGGTCAGATGGGTTTAAAGTCACATGGGAATGATAAACAATTAGTAGATGTGTCAGCAGCAGACTTGGATTTAAGGCAGATAAAAGGTTCTAGTCCCACTGACATGACTAGAATTCATCCTAACAAACTAATGAAGGAATCCAATACAGAAGCGATAGTGACTGAAGCAGGTGCTAGGAATAAAATTTCCATGGACTATGACAAAACTTTGTCATCCGATGAACCTAAGAATGAAATTGAACGTTTGGTAGGGCTATCCTCTCTGACGTTGGCTTCAGGCTATGATGAAGGTTAGTTGGGAATGATTCTGAGTTCTTTTTGCCCTTACTTCACCAAACACCTCATTCCAACTCAACTTGTGTGTATTCTTACATATCACTGTGAGTTAACTCATCCAGGAATGTTACATAAACATGTATCCCAAATAAAGATGAGAGAGAATGAATTTATCGAAATCTGAACTTATGAAGAAAAATGACTATATCTCAATGTTTGTCTCTCCTGTTATTAACTGAAAGCAATAAAATCTTATTATCCAAAAGTGAATGAGTTATCAATATTATCATGATTATACAACTTTCCAAAAAAAAAAAAAAATTAATATTATTATTTATTCAATATCCAAGAATTTAATATTTTTATTGCTTGCATGTTGCAATGTGTGTGAACCCCATAGCATACACTTAACTAACAGCTGAGCCCTGGAAACATGAAACATTTTAGACTTGATTGATAATCTGCATACTCTGTTGAAATGATGTATATATAAATGTAGCATTGTGAAATAATAATAATAAAAAAAAAAAGAATTGTCAGGACTGCATATCCAAACTGTTGTTATCTGCAGAATTTAACTCTTTATTTCACAGCAAATAAGCACCTCATAAAATGTTCAAGGTCTAAGTCTGTTTCATGATCTAGAGCTGATCTGATCTTGTTGGCACTGCATATCATACTGATCATGCTGATATATTCCGTTTAGTTTGCTAGTTGAATGCCCTGCTTGTACTATTTACCCATATATCTAACATGTTAATAATGTGCAGATCTTTAAGCTATTTTTGATATGTAGCACTAAGTCATAAACAACATATATGTGCATTTACCAAACTACTAGCTCAATTTTCACAGAAGGCTAACAAATAAAAGAAAAAAAAGTTCAATAGACCTTACAACCCTTCTTACTTTTGAATGATTGGTACTATGCCTTTCATATTTCACTTGACCATCATGCCAATAGTGTGTATTCCTTTTCACAACTCTCCCTTAGGTACAACTTTTTTGACCTAAAAGTGGGTTTAAACTACTTTTGGAAACTTTAACCTTGGCCATACATTTTCGGTGATTATTGGTGCTTTGACTGTCATATTTTGCATAAATATACTTTATGACAAACCTTTATTTGGTACCAGTATTTTGGATCCATTAATTTTCATTGACGTTTGAGATTTACTGTGAATATTAGAAAAATAAAACTTGACCTGGAGGTTTCATTTGGGGGAACACATGTTTTACAAGACATTTTTTTCTTTATACAACAAGGCAGACAACTTTTCAGAAATGTTGTTATCAATGGAAACCAGAAGTACTTGATCAAGCAGTAACTAGTCACAAATGAATTTAAATCTACACTTCATCAACCTGTAAACAATCCATCATGAGCAAATCAATCTAATTAAAATTAGATGTTAGATTTGCTCGCATACTCGTTACACTAATGTAGAGAGGTGCGAGTGGATCTAACATCAAATTTTAATTAGATTGGGCAAAATGAGTAAAAATTTAGAAAAGATTTTTCTTTAGATGTCACTGTAAATTCAAACACGTGGAATGTTAATATTTTTTTGTATTTTGGGTCTATAACTTGTGTACAAGAAATAATCTGTTAAACTCTAAATTTCTTTAGAATTTAAATTTATGATGGTCCATTTCAGGTAAGGTTCTTGAATTTTATTTTAAATGTTTTTTTTTTGTTTAGTTTAATTTTCTTTTTCATTTCAAGTGAATTTTTCAAAAAAAGCTGCATCACAACCATATAAATCAAGATAGATTATGGACACATTTTCCTTCCTCTTTCATTTCATGTGTACTGTGATTTGTGAGTGTAAGTCCTTTAAACACTGTCATGTACACCATCAAGACATATTGTGTCAATACAATACATATTGCTTGTGTCTTGATGATAAGACACCATCCTTCTGTCATTGTGGTTTGAACCTTCACTTTTTGGCTTTTGTAATGAACATTTAACAGTTCATCAGTCTGACATTTCATTTCCTAGAGTTGACTTTGTGTACATTGTATATTTGTCTTAAACATTTAAGCTTGTGTAAAAAATTTTCCAGTCAATGATCACTTAATCAAGATAGAAAGAGGAATTCATTTTCTATGGACAATTTTTACTTTATTTAAAAAGCAACGATAAGTGAAGATAAAGCATTTCTGATTTAAAAAAAAATATTTCTGTGGCATTAATTTATTTCTCGACTTTTTTCTACAGTTTTACATAAATCATTTTGATTTTTTTTCTTTTAAATTCTTTCAATTTATATTGAAATAGTAGAAACTCCACATTTCATGACCATATAATATGTCTTTTTCTTGACCACACTTTAGTTGTTCATTTAAATTTCTTCATGCTATTTTGTCTCAATTTGTATAAATCATACATTTACTCCAGAAATAAATAACACCAGTTTTGATGTAAACATTTTATTTTGTAGATGTCCATTCCAAACCCAATGCTAAGGCTGCCAGAGAGAGCAATCATTCAGATGACGATTGTGTAGTAGTCAATCCTACTGGTAAAACACCCTCTCTACAGAAAACTCCTCAATCTTCCACTGTTTCTGGAGAAACACAGGTTACTGCAGCAGGCTCATCAACAAACAAAGGACCCGTAACTATCAAACAAACAAAGAAAGGATCTGTAACATCTGATGAACAAATCTCTAGCGTTCCAAGAGCAAATGTCTTCAATAATGATTCAGATCAGACACTGAAGCTCCAGAAACGGAGCGCTACTGAAAACAATGATGTTGAAATGACAGATGAAGGTATTTGTGAAATAAAGGTGAAAACTTCTAACAGTAGTTCTGAAGAAAGACCAGGGAGTAGTGTAGATAATTCAAGTGTTGCTGGATCAGAGAATACAATGTTGTCTGGAAATTTATATAAATCAGAACCTAGGAATGAAGGCAGAGTAGATGGTGTGCAAGACAGTGTAAATGTAGGACCAGGTTATAGGACACCAGAGAATTCAGGACAGGACGGCAGTCAGTTGTCCGCAGGGAGGAGAGGAATGGCAAGGACACCAAGTAGTGACAGTAGATACAGCACAGAGGAAAGACAAAGAGTGGTGAGTGGAGAAAGTCAGCGATTTCCTACGATGGAAAGACTGCAAGTGGGAGAAGGAAGGAGGCGCCACTCTGAGGAGCCACGTTATGGGAGTGAGGGTCATCCTACACAACACAGGGGCAGCACTGACCACTCAAGTCAGGACAAGAGAGGGGTAATGCAGAGGTCCCAGTCAGATAATTCCCAAGAAATCACTCCTAAAACTGCCAAGACATACAGGGAGTATAGAGAGGCAAAGCAGAGACAATTGGAGAGAGAAGAACGAGAGAGAAAGCGGAATCAGATGAGGTCCTCTTCTATAGAGAGACATAATGGCTACTCTACTCCAAATAAGGAGCCAGTGAAGAACTCTGATCATGTGGTGACACCAAGCAATCCTTCAAATAAAGGGGGACAACCTAGCAGTTCTACAATATCTGATTCCTTGGAGTCTAAATTCTGCATTGTGTATGGTGCTGAAATACCAAGTCCTCAGGAAACTAGTAAGAAATATGTTAAAACTTTTTATGAGAATTGTTCGGATAGCTTGTGGACTTCTGTCATATCTTTTTATTTGATGTCATATGTTATCCAAATTTGATAGAAATATTGTAACAATAAATTTAAATGATTTTTATTAATTTTTTTGAATATTACAATTTATTTAAAACTTAATAATTCAAATTTTAAAAATGTGTATATATCGGATCGTGAAGCAGGTCAAAATTTACTGTAGTCATTTACAAAACTATACACTAAATAATGTTTGCAGGCTTATCTTCTGTAAAATCGAGCAAAAATGAAAAATCCTAAACATTCAAATAAACAATTTGTTACATCAATGCATATTCCAAATTATGGATTAATATTTTGCTTTCGTTGAAAAGAAATCAACTTGAGAAGGTTGTCCTCAATGAAACCGACAAAAACGATGTAGAACATTATGGAGCAGCAGATAACGATGCAATTCTGTGTTTTACTCAGGCAAAATCCTGAAAAACTCAATAAATATTGGAGGAATTGAGAATTTTGTCACAAGCTAGTTGTGCATGTGTGTGTGAATGGTACAGGCAGTATTTGAGTGACAGAGACTGTATCAGATGAACACAATCTGTGAAGAAACAGTTAAACTCAAAAAATCTGGTTCAGAACAAAAACTTAAAAGTTGGAATGCAATGAAGAAAACATGCACTTCAGAATCGCTTATCTTGTGAAAGCATAGTTTATTGATGAAAAAAATTAAAATATTGACAAAGGAAACTATACAATTAGAAAAATTGTTTAAAAACTAAATGCCAAGTGATAGAAAATGTTTTTTAATTAGTGGGTATCGGACTATACTGTGCGAAATGTTTAGAGATAGGATTTTTGAGAAATTCTTGACACTATATTTTTGACGTTATATTTCTGTTAAGTGTGCTCCGTGGTCACAAAACATCGATTATAAAATGAAGTTAATTGATATCTGTTAAATTGAATGGAATGAAACTTTACACATCAAAAAAAAAAAACAATTATTTTTACAAATAACTCGGTATATTGTGCTTATTTTAAATATCTTGAAAGTACATGTAGTAAATGGATAATGAAGATTAATATCATCCACAAACTTTTCGAACAACCCTAGTAATCAAACATCATGTAAATTGTTTAAAACTTAATTCTTTTTTGTAAATATTAAAAATAATTATTAACCTGAGAATATGAATGGCATTAAGTGCCTTATTTGTACACTAATCTAGAAAGAAAATGTCTATTTACCTATAGACAGAATGTCTATTTAATTATTTAATTTTAGACAGAAAATATGTATTTGTATTATAGATGACCGACTGAGTGACTACGACATAGATCTAGATGACTCTGATGATGAGCTCCTAGAAACTCCCTCCTTTTTAAAAGACTTAGAAACTGCCATGTAAGTAAAAGATTTAATGAATCATCAGTCTTATTTATTCCCTCATCATGCTGATTGATATATTTGTTTGTTTGCAGAATTATTAAATTTTCTCGCTTTAAGTTCAGTTGTTGACTCAGTCATTAGGGTCGTATATCATGATTCAATAATCTTGTCTTTTTTACAGCACACAACCAGTTCCTGGCACTCCACCTCCAAAGAACCACTCTGTAAGTGAAAAATTGTTTTAATATTTTTAGTGTTTCTCATTATTTTACATTTTAATCTTGTTATAAGGCAAGAAAATTCAATTTTCAAAATACCTGTATGGTATCGGATTAAATATCTTTAATCATGTTAATGTCTGTATGGTATAATGTAAATGTCTTTAATGTCTTATTGATTAATGTTAATGTCTGAAATAGAGGACTCAAGCAGCTAATGTATATATAAAATATTTTCATTTGGGAAAATTTAAAATGTATGTTTCAAGACATTTTTAAAAGCAATAAGAAATGTAATATGTTGTCAATTTAACAAGAATAAGGTTGAATTCAATAAATTTAAGCTGTTAGGAATGATTTTTTATATATATTTTATTTAATTACACTTCACATCATTGTTTCTTTAGTCTCCAGGCCCTGGCAGCCCTATTCCAATGTCCAACAATAACTCCATTTTCATTCCGACCACATCAAGATTTGCCAAGTTTTCTTTGGATAGTTTGCTAGCAGAACAGACAGACAAGGTACTTTGTGACTTGTTTATGAAGCTAAGAAAAAAGGAATCTTTTTTCATCTAACTTTATAGAGATCTTCTTGAACGAATCATTTACTTCATGAATAAAAATAATGGAGATGACATTGTGGCCATGATAACCATTGTTAATGAGAAGTTAATAAAGAAAAGCCAACTTACGATAGAATAGATTTGTACTCGTAAACATTTTTCCTCTGCTTTTCTTAATTTTTCTCATAAATTTTGAATTGGTCTGTTTTCTTTAAGATTTTATTTCAAGCCATTGCTATATGTTTACAAGAAACCATTTAAAATCTATAGAAAAATGAGAATGACCAATGTTCTTTAGAGTCATGTGGGTTTCATTGCATTTTGTCCAACATCCTCAACTGGTTTCAGATAGATGTAAACTTTTCACAATTTGAAAGTTTTCTCCCACTGAGCCATATTTCAAAATAATGCAAAAATAAAATACCAAGTTCTTTCTAAAGGTGAAATAAGATTGCATACTGTAGATAACTAAATACAGGAGAGAAACAAACAGAAAAAGAATACATAGGGCATCTAAAGAGTTTGGTACGAGTCCGACCTTCCGTGGCGTTCTCTGAAATATGATTATATGCGTGAAATTAATTATGGCATAATTTCAAGAGAAGCACAACTCACACAATAAAATTACTGTCTCGCTTTTATTGTTATTGTGCTGAAATCTCTTGATAAAATGTCCACCCATACCGAAAAAAGTTATAACTTAGTTATAACTTTTGTAACTAAAAAAAGTTACAAAAAAGTTATAACTAAGTTATCGGAGTTTGGAATGGCATGTTTTAAGTGAGGTATAATTTAGTTATAACTTAGTTACAAAAAAGTTATAACTTTTGCATAACTTTTCACCTTTTATTCAACATAAATACAGCAAGTACATAAAAGTTATAAAAAAGTTATAACTACAAAAAGTTATACTTATTAAAAGTTACACAAAAAGTTATAAAATAGTTACAAAGTTATACTTTAGTTATACCCAAATAAACAGTGGAAAAGTTACAAAAAAGTTATACCCAAAAAAAGTTATGAAAAAGTTACAAAAAAGTTATACCCGGAAAAAGTTATACCCAGGAAAAGTTATAACTAAAAAAAGTTATACCTATTATAAAGTTATGAAAAAGTTACAAAAAAGTTATACCCCAAGAAAGTTATGAAAAAGTTATAGAAAAGTTATACCTAAAAAAAAGTTATAACTGCAAAAAGTTATAACTATAAAAAGTTATACCTATTAATAAAAACTTTCGTAAAAGTTCCAGTGAAATTATACACTGTATGTTAACCTGTTGTGGATTTACTCAGTTATAAGCTTTTAAAAAGCTACTCATTAAAATTTAAAAAAAAAAAAAAAAAGATTTTTGAAATTTATACAAAAAATATTATTTAAAACATATTAAAGGCAATAACAATTTTACCTAACAAACACGATAAAGATAGCTTGGTTTATTGTCAAATACAACTAAATGAATGCACATGCAATTGTTTTCAAAATTCAAGTGTACCTTATTTTTCATCATGTCATCTACAACAGATTGAAATTTCTCTGGTTGTTTTAAAGAATACATTTTTAGCATATAGCAATTAGGGTCTTTGTAAAATTACCTAGCAAACTGCATTCTACTCTTGCTAATGGTATAAACAGACATCACTAATTTTTAAATATTAACACCCTATTTATTTTTGATCTAGCTGTATTTAAAAAAAAAAGAAAGGTTCTAAACAGTGATTTCAGTTACAGTTTCTAGCTGCATACCACCCTCCTTGCACAGGTATCCTTGCAGGTGTACAGTTGTCTATCTTTATTATTTGAAGATAGGCTGCACTGAAAGTTGGCTGAGTTAGCTGACAGACTTAGCCATCGTTTGACAGGCCGCACTGGTATAAGACCAAGTTAGCTGACAGACTTAGCCATTGTTTGACAGGCCGCACTGGTAGTAGACCAAGTTAGTTGAAGGACTTGGCCATTGTTTGACAGGCCGCACTGGTAGTAGACCAAGTTAGCTGACAGACTTAGCCATCGTTTGACAGGCCACACTGGTAGTAGGCCAAGTTAGTTGAAGGACTTGGCCATCGTTTGACAGGCCGCACTGGTAGTTGGTCAAGATAGTTGACGGACTTGGCCATCCCTTGACAGGTCGCATCTGTAGTTGGTCAAGTTAGTTGACGGACTTAACCGTCCCTTGACAAGCCGCACTGGTAGAAGGCCAAGTTAGTCAACGGTCTTAACCGTCCCTATATTGACAGGCCGTACTGGTAGTAAGCCGAGCTAGTTGACGAACTTGGCCATCTCTTGACATGCGGCACTGGTAGTAGGTTAAGTTAGTTGACGGACTTGACCATCCCTTGAAAAGCCGCTCTGGTAGTAAGCCAATCTAGTTGATGGACTTGGTTGTTCAATGACAGGCCGCACTGGTAATAGGCCAAGTTAGTTGAAGGACTTGACAGGCTGCACTGGTAGTCAGCCGAGCTAGTTGATGGACTTGGTCATCCCATGACAGGCCGCACTGGGTCAGCCGAGCTGGCCGAGGGACTTGGCTGGTGGTCTGCGTCCCTCATTTTAGCTGGTCAGACGTCTTGGCTGGCGGGCAGTGTGACTGGTAGTCGGCTAAGTTTTCGTTGAAATATGCTTGCAATTTTAACCTTTTCTTCAATTCTGCAAAAAATTGTAAAGGTTCAAAATTTAGATTATAGATATTTAGATAGTATATTTCCAGCACTCATTTGCATATCAAATTGAAAACACTCTTCCATATCAATTAATTCAAATTCATTAATTCATCCAAAACATGGAAAATACAAGACTAATTTAAGATCTATACTTACAGGAATCAGTTTTAGATTGAAAGATTTATTGAATTTTGAAATGAAAAAAAAATTTACTTTACCTTAAACAAGTAATATTTTGAAGAATTTCATGTACTCCAGGTCAGGACAGATTCAGCTCATGGAAACATCATGTACCAATATTCTGCTTTATAAAAAAAAAAAAAGAAAATTAATGTTAAATTACTCATTTCATTGCATTAATTAACGTTGCAGCCAGATCATGTTATGATCATGCTGATGCGTATAAGGCTTCACAATATTTTAACAGTTCAGGGAATCTATAAACAATTGTGGGAATAAATATGACAAAGAACAACATATTTGATTAATATACTAAATGCTGAAAAATATTATGCGTTTCAAATACTTTCAATTTGTTTACTTCAGTCTTTGTCATTCGACAAACCAATCAAAACAAACAAGAAATCTAAGATTCACACGCCTAGAATTTGGTTCATTCCCAATATTTCTTCTATTTGGAATGTTATTCCAGAGGTACTAAGTATACTTTACCAAAATCAATAAAATGTTAGCATAAATATCGCCTTACCAACTGGTTTTATCTCCTTTTTTTCCATCAACACTTTCAACATCCAAACATTCAAATCGTCCATGGAAAAATCCGCGCTCTGTTATTGACCAATCATAGAACTCAAAAACGTCACGTGATCGAAAAAAATAAATAAATAATTCATAATTAATTTATTTTAAATGCAAATAAACCTAATTGTGTAATTTTAAACTTAAATTAAAAATATAAATACCAGTTGGTGTTAAAATTTTGAATTTATCTTAATATCAACAAAACGGACATCGGAGGCCGCCATATTTTTTGTTGCCGCCATTTTGAATTTAATATTTGTTTATTTGTGAAAATAACTATTATAACTGGGTTATTTAATTATGCAAACAATAAAATCTACATGTACTAGTCATCTGCTTAAATCTTAATATAACTGGCAGTCTTTATTCACAACATCGTAATATCTGTTCAACATGAACATGCACATACTCTATGCTGTTGTTTATCTTTTTAGCCACCCATATTACGACTGATTTTCTTCAGATTTCAAACAACCTGTGTAGAATTGTACTATTCAGAGATTGTGTAATACCCAAGCTGAAATATTTACGATGTGTTGGCCACAAAGGTCACCTAGTACAAACACCTGTTTCACAGAAAACAATAGGGAAATTTACACAGTTTTGCACACGAAGAATCCGTGCAAAATTCACATGACTTCATGAGATTACATTTCATACTGTTTATATCTCTTGCAGTACATTTATATTTCCCCAGAATTATGAAATATATTCATTCCCAACTTCAGATGTAAGTGCATTATTATAATTTACAAGACAAATATTATGTCTCATCAGGGTCTCAATAAATACGCATTTTCTAAGAGAGAGAGAGGAGAGAGAGAGAGAGAGAGAGAAATTAATTATTCTCAACTTTAGTTGAAACTTACATGACAAATATCAATTTAAATAGACAATAATATTTATTACACACACATGACATGTACTGTGTACACACCCTCAAACACCACAGAGAGAGAGAGAGAGATGTAATTCACAAGATTTTATTTCACATCCCTTCTGTTGAACTTGACATGGCTGTGGACAGCATATTTATTATGAATGAGAAGTCGATCACTGGTAGTAAACAATATTATTGTTCAGGAATTGACAAAGTTTTCTGCTGCAGTGTTTGAAAAAAAAAACCATTTTGAACATGATCAAAATTCATTCAAATTAACACTTAGTTATAATGTTATTTTTGAAAAAAAAAAGTCGGTGTCAAGTAGTATCCATCAAATAACCCCCAAAACTTGTAAATTTATACTGGTAATGCTTGAAAATGGCTTAGTTCAGAAAAGTTATGTTTTAGTTATACATGAAAATGACAAAGTCCAGAAAAGTTATGTTTTAGTTATACATGAAAATGGCTAAGTCCAAAAAGTTACATTTTAGTTATACATGAAAATGACAAAGTCCAGAAAAGTTATGTTTTAGTTACACGTGAAAATGGCTAAGTCCAAAAAGTTACATTTTAGTTATACATGAAAATGACAAAGTCCAAAAAAGTTACATTTTAGTTATAACTTTTTTGTACCTCACAGGCTAGGTATAACTAAGTTATACTTTAGTTATAACTTAGTTATAACTTTTTTCGGTATGGGCAATCATAAATCATTGTCATATTCGTGATTTTACGTTGAAGAGCCCTATCCCGACAATAAGTACAGCAAAACTCGTTTACTACGAACACGGTTATAGCGAATTTACGGATATAGCGAAGTTTTCTTGGATCCCCAGCTATATTAATTTAATGAATTCCTTATACGGATATAATGTTTTACAGATATAGCAAAGTAATTTCGTAGGTCCCTGTGACTTTGTATAACCGAGTTTTACTGTACTCACAAAAAATAAGGAATCTACTGTAGTGAAAATAGGTTGGGGTAATCAAAAATGCTTCTCATGTGAAGGTTTAAGTGTGCACATCATTCAAAATAAGACTACGGTAGTAAAACTATCATATAAGGTCGATATAAGGCCTCTTGTATGTTATACTATGTTAAAAATTTTAAAATATTGTTTTAGAAGAGAGATGTCAATGCCAAAAAATATATAGATCAACAAAATTTTATAGGAATAACAGTTACCTGGTATTTTAATTTCCTTTTCAAAACATTAATTTCAGGACTTTTGTCAATGGATGAACACATTAAATCTGGTGAAGCTGTAATATTTTTTTTTTATTAATGATAACAGACTTACAATCTGGATAATATTGCTGCAGATATGTATCTATAAAAAATTTCATTTGAGAAAAAAATGTCATTGCATGGTGAATATTGGTTGTAAATACTATGTATAATCTATATTTAGTTATCTGAATGAAACATCTTGCTTATATACCAGCCTAAAAGTACAATGTTAGTCTTTTTCCATCTTAATGATACTGAAGCATGATGAATCAGTATAGATTTTATTGTACTCAATTTTATTTCAGCCTGATGAGCAAATAGAGTTTGAAGAAATGCAGACAGAATTAAAGGTTTGTCATTATTTCTCAATTATATATGTCTACTATTCAGACAATAATAGCAAAAGTTAAAGAAATTGATTAATAAATGAGTTTGTTTATTGATTTTCTATTTAGAGAATTTCTTATGATTTTATTGGAAGCAGTTGATAATAATTATTGATAGTAAATGTGTTGATTAACTCCCAGCATAGAGGATATTATATTTGTGTTCACTTTTATGTCTGTCTTTCTTATTTTGACTGCACATGTACCTCACGAAATTCAAATATATTGGGGGTAGGATTAGATTTCAAGTCTTATTAATAAAAGGTTTCATAACCATTTGAAGGGCAGCTTAAAAGCCAACCACAAACAAAGGATTTGATCTTAGTTTTCTAAGTTGTTCCATGTTGTGAGCCAGCAACTGACATAAAATCTGCATATAATTACCGGTATCAGGACTTTTCTTCTTGTAGTTCTGAACTTAATTTAAGCTGGAAAGGAGTATTTGCATTCAGATTGACTTTAAAATTAATTAACATGGTATTTTTGGTACCATGTAGAAAGCCAACTGAATATAAATATTTTAATTTTCTATTAGGAGTCTGTGAGAAAAGGGGGCTTTGTGAAAGATACACTTGAAAAGCAAGAAGATCATACAGAACAAAGTATGTATTACAGTCATTCTTTTTATACGCCCGTCTTAAGACGGGACGTATTATGTTATAGGCTTCATGTCCGTCTGTCCGTCCGTCCGTCTGTCTGTCTGTCCATTCGTGTCCGGCTCATAACTTCAATACTATTAGGCCTAGGATTATCAAACTTTGTCAACTGATACTTCTTGGGTAGACGGTGTGTCGCGCACCAAAAGTAGGTCGCTCTGACCTTTAATAAAGATGCTATGGCCAAATATGGAAAAATCCTGTCCGGCTCATAACTAGAAAACTATTAGACCTAGAGCTATCAAACTTGGCAAAAGTATACATCTTAGGTAGAAGGTGTGTCGCGACCTATTTCAAGGTCACTGTGACCTTTAATTTTAGTGAAATTTTTTAAAAAACTAAGTTTTTTAAATTTTAAATTTCATAATCCTAAAAATGTAAAAAATAGAGTTGTATCCTTATTAAAAAGTATTAAATCAAGTAAAAACTTATTTTTTCATCATATACTTTACAGCAATCTTAAACAAATTTCAATGTTAATGAGAGGAATTCAGTTTGTCCCATGGGCATAATTATCAAGCACTGGTCAGGAAGAATTTTGATAGCAGAAAGTTGCATGTCAAATTAGAGAGAAATTAATGAGTTTAGTGTGAGGAGGTAACTAGTAGAGCATTGGTGTTATCCCTTGGGTATTGGGCAAATGGACAGCCAGCCTAGCTGTTAGATTAAAAATAGCTCTTGTTGGCTAGCTAAGTTTTAAAATGAATTTGATGAAAAGTAATTAAAACTTATTTGATATTGCATAATAAACTAATAATCTGATATTATATAATATTAATTAATTAAAAACTAATTTTATGGGGTGGGGTTGAATCAGCATGCCTACTTGACCATATGAATTAAATATAAAACCTGTCTGGCATTAAATCTAAAAAGAAATCATGGAGTATTTTATATGTTTTAAAAGTGTTTTAGGATAAAAAGTGCAGATCCATTAATATTTAGGGAGTAATGAGTAGACAAGCATCCAGTCAAAGATTAATTAATGAGTTCAATGTATGAAGGCTATCTGATCAAGCGCTGCCTTATCTGTATCCTTTGGGGATTAGACAGAAGAACTGCTGGTCAGTCTATAGAATATGTCATTTGATGGCCAGCCTTTCTTTTCAAAATTAATTAGGGCCCCGCAAGGATTTGCGGGTGCCCTATAGTAATCACTCTGTCTGTCTGTCTGTCTGTCCGTCCGTCTGTCATTCTTCCGTCCACAAATTTTCTGTTTTTTCCTAATAACTTTTTTTATGGTAGCCCAATTAAGTTCAAATTTGGTATGGTAGTTCAGTAGGCAAAAAGACATATTTTGATGCTAAGTTTGTTTCTCTATGTCCTCTGGTTTGGAGCTGGGGTGGTGGGGTAGATTCCTTAACTTTATATAAGAATGAATTGGGAAAGAGAGATAACTTCTGAAAATGTTGTAAACTGAATGCTGCAATGAATGAGCCCCTTGGGATTACCGTATATACTCGCCTATAAGTCGGTCCGCCTATAAGTCGGTTGTATTTAATAAGCTTTCATTTCAGATGGACTGATCTCATATAAAACTTTACTTTTGATAGCTCGCCTATAAGTCGGAAAATGAATTTTAGACCAGAGATTAACTAAAAAAAAACCGACTTATAGGCGAGTATATACGGTAATTAGCTTTCCTCCTGCAGAAAATCCAAAGCATTATCTTTATCTGTCACATTGAGATTAATTACCACCTCTGTCTGCAAATGAAGTTTGTTTTGAAGTTAAGTCCATTTGGAATGCTATGAACACTATGAAATGTGGATTGAAGTATAAATGTTTTTACTTTATTTTTGTTGAAATAGCCTACACAATGAGTTTTAATTTCATTGACTTTGAAAAAGAAGAAATAGATTAAAGAAGATATATTTTTTATTTTTATTTGTTTATTTATTTTTTTTTTTTTCTTCATGAAAATTCAAGAATATTATTAATTTTTAAGGCAGTTGGATAAAAACCTCCTCATTCTATCATTGCTGAAAAAGTTCTTATTATAAATTAAGAAGAAAATGATGAGAGAGAAGTACAATTAATCCCTTGGGATTAATTATCTAGCCTGCTGCAGGAAATTTAGAAGGCTTATCTTTATCTGTCACTTTAAGATTAATGAAAACCTATTTAGATTTACATTCAGTGTTGAGTTGTTCTTTACTGCCTTATGTAAAATAGATACAAAGATATTATTTACAGGTTTTTGGACATTCGGGAATTATCTTGAAATTTTAAGAATACAGTTGCTGTTTCTTATTCGTCATGTATTTCTTAAATCATTCCATAAGCTGCACCCTTATAATTCTACCTCATGGCGGGGCCCTTGCTGACTGGTCAGTTTTCTAGTTTGGCATAGATTAAGTTGTTAAGACTAATTTGATATTGTTTATTATGATGGCCGGCATTTGACAAAGTCTAACACAAACAGTTGTATAGAAATCTGTCAGTTACGTAATATTTGTTATAATTATGCCTACAGCACAGGGGATGGATAAAGAAATATTTTTTTTTAAAATGGAAAAATCATGGAAATCTTAGAATCAAGGTTGAAGTGATTTTCTTGCAGTCTAAACTGTTAAAGATAATTGTGTAATATTTTGACGGGCGTATCATGCTGTGGCGTGGCACTTTATTTTTTCTAGTACAAATAAAATGGTTAAATTTCATGCAAAAATGTTTCCATTTGTTCTTTATAGATTTACTTCCTGAACACCAGGAGCAGATAGAACATGTAAGTTATAGACACTATGAAATTTTGAACATTTTTTTTTTTCAGACAAGACAGACTTTATTTTTAAAAAAATTGCAAATTAGAATTTGTTGTCAGGTTTAACAGTATTAAATATACATATAATGATATTAAACTGCTCATTAAGTTTTACTATTATGCTTTGAAAATATACTTTTTAAACAGAAATATAACTGGTGCACCTTTGCTTTGAATCTTTCAGCTTGAAATGAAGAAAAGTGTAATATCGACAGCCCACCCAGGCGAGACAATATTCTGTCCGAGTCGCTACAAACAGCTTTACACTTCCCGAATCTCGCCCACCATGTGTGGATTTACTGCAGGGGAGTCCTACATTGACAAATTCCTTACCACAGTCCAGCCAAGTATGTGTTATCTCCCTTTGTAAGATACCCAAATATAGGATTTATCTCCCTTGTCTGATGAAAAAAGCATGTGTTATCTCTCTTCCTCAAATAAAAATATAAAGTTAAGGCCTTTTCAGAGTTTTTTAATGAAGAAAATTGGCACACCTGAATTTTGTTCCTTTCAGAAGATTTTGATACCCTGCTATCCTCTGAAGTTCTAGTCAGCAGTCTGGATAAGGTGTCCTGTCCTAAAATTCTCCTCAAATGGCTCATCTTTCTTTGTATGTATATTTAATGTAACCTGTGAAATCATTTTAATATGTGAGGGTCAGCATTTATGAACAATTAAAATTATAAAGCTTCGTCTGTACAGAGTTTCATAATTTGATGCAATAGATTTTGTGAATCAGTAACATGATTTTTTAAATAAGTCCGTCTGTCAGTCTGTCCGTCACAAAAACTTTAACCTTGCTCATAACTTTTGATTTAGTGGAGCTATGACTTTCATATTTCACATGTGTATTCCTTGTGACAAGACCTTTCTTTGGGTACCACCAAATTTGACCTTTTGACCTTGACCTTGGAGTTTGACCCACTTTTACACAAAAATTCCAAACTTTTACTTTGGCCATAACTTTTGAATGATAGGTACTAGGACTTTCATATTTCACATATGTATTCTTTGTGGCAAGACCTTTCATTGGATACCAACAACCATGATCTTTTGACCCTGACCTTTGAGATTTATGTACTTATGAAAAAACTTTAACCTTGACCATAACTTTTGAACGGTGAGGGCTAGGGCTTTCGTACTTCACAGGTGTAATCCTTGTGAGAAGACATTTCATTGGATACCAAGAACTTTTACCCTTTGACCTTGACCTTGGAGTTTTAACTACTTTTAAAAAACTTTAACTTTGGTCACAACTTTTGAACGGTAGATACTAGGACTTTCATATTTCACATATATATTCTTTGTAGTAAGACCTTTAATTGGATATCAACAACCTTGACCTCTTGACCTTGACCTTAAAGATTTACGTACTTATGAAAAAACTTTAACCTTGACCATAACTTTTGAATGGTAAGGGCTAGGGATTTCATACTTCACATATGTAATCCTTGTGAGAAGACCTTTCATTGGATATCAACAACTTTGACCCTTTGATCTTGACCTTGGAGTTGACCTACTTTTAAAAAACTTTAACTTTGGCCATAACTTTTTAAGGGTCAGGATTAGGGTTTTCATCCTTCAAAAAAATCAACTTCAATGATAATTTCTAAATAAATGACATATGATAGGACGTTCATATTAGACACTATATGTCATAAAAAATAACATCTCACCCACAAAGACACGGAAAGCAGGGGACCACAATTCTTTGAATTTGCTTGTCCTGTTTTTAAACACAGATTTTAAATCTTGTCATTACTTGTAGTGTCAGTGGATGAGAGCCACCTGGTGATGGATGGCTGTTATAAGGTCCTGGAGGAATACCTGTATTGTCACAAGGTGTTCCATGATGATCAGGACGATCCATGGGCCCCTCCTATTGAGGACTTACTCACTGTCTTCATGAATTGTGGTAATGGAACATTTCCATATTATGTGCACATTTTTTTCAAACTATCTATTTTTCCTAATTTCAATATTTTGCAAATGGGAAGAATTTATGGATTAATGATTCTTTTTTTTTAAAGGAGCATCTGAAGAAAGCATTTTACCTAAAGATGTGTTTAAAGATGATGAAGAAATAAGGTACGATCAAATACTGAATCAGGTATATTGTAATAAAATTATGACAGTTGCTCTTTTAAAAAGTCACATAAAAAGAGCCTGACCTACACATGTACAAGCAGGTTAAGTAATAAATTTCATTTTGAACCCCCATCTAACACCCTCCCCCAGTTGAACATAAGAATTACAGATTTCTTTTAAAATTAGCTCCCTTGGCAGTAAGGTGACCAGAGAGGGTAACCAGCCACTCCCTCCCCCCAATGCAGGCAGCTTTAACAGAGAAAATCTCAGGATGGTCATCCAAGTCCTAGCACTGGCTCTACAGAGGAGGTTAGTATTTTACTCCTGTTCACAAGCTCTGTCAAACAATTATCTAATATATATAAAATCTTAGAATTTCATCACTTATGACAAAATTTTAATAAATTAAAGGAGTTCTATTTCTAATTCACCTGATATTTTTTTTTATACCCCCCGCAAACGAAGTTTGGGGGGGTATATAGGAATCACCTTGTCCGTCTATCCGTCTGTCTGTGCGATCGTGTCCGGTCCATATCTTTCTTAAAGTGGGACATTAGAATCTACTACTCCACACTAAGATTGCTCATGACCTAAGGGTGTGTGATGACCTTGACCCAAGGTCATTTGGGGAAGTTCAAGGTCACTGGAAGAAAAATTTCATAATTCGTGTCCGGTCCATATCTTTCTTATGGATAAACTTGGTAGGTTCTCATTTCACACAAAGATTGCCCATGACCCAAGGGTGTGTCATGACCTTGAACCAAGGTCATTTGTGGAAGTCTAAGGTCACTGGAAGAAACATTTCATAAATCATGTTTGATACATATCTTTTATGGATAAACTTGGTAGGTTCTCATTTCACACAAAGGTTGCCCATGAAACAAGGATGTGTCATGACCTTGACCCAAGGTCATTTGGGAAAGTTCAAGGTCACTGGAAGAAAAATTTCAAAATTCCTGTCTGGTCCATATCTTTCTTATGGATAAACTTGGTAGGTTTTCATTTCACACAAAGATTGCCCATGACCCAAGGGTGTGTCATGACTTAACCCAAGGTCATTTGGGGAAGTTCAAGGTCACTGGAATAAAAATTTCATAATTCGTGTTTGATACATATCTTTATTATGGAAGAACTTACTTCTGAAAAACCCAGCAGGGGGTATTTTGTCCCGTTTGGACAGTTCTAGTTTAATTTTGACTTGTGCGAGTGTGTTATAAGGCCTATGTAAACCTTCAACATGAGTCCAAGTTTTATCATATTGCTGTTACATTAGTGTACACTAGTAAATAGCACAACTTAGAATTGGAATTGATAAGGTAAATTTCTTTTCTGTAAAACATGATTTTTGATGATGAATTCTCTTACACAGACCAAAGTACCGGACCTCCCACCTGCTGGCATTGTATGTCATGTTATGTAGAGTGGCCCTGGACAAATCACTCAACTGGTAAATATAATTTTGAAGTTCTCAACATAATTTTTCCAATGGATAATATGTTTTGTGATGTTAATACAAAGAAAGATAAGAATATGAACATTCTAATAAATAATAGAATGTTGATGTTAATACAAAGAAATTTACTGACTTATGGTAAGTGCCGAGTTTTTATTTTTCAGTGGTTTAATCAACATAGAAATCCAGTCTTGTTTAGGCAGCATTGTGAGTTGTTATTCGGAATCAGAATGGAAGACTCAGGTAAGTTAAAAATTACAGTATATTTGCATAGGCAGAACTTTCTTCATTATATTCCTAATATAAAAATTAAAAAAAGATTTTAATGTTATTAGTCTATAAAACTTTTTAAAGGCACTAAACTTTTTCATTCACTAAGAGTTTTTTATTAAAATGAATAAATTTTCAAGATTAATGGAGTAAATATCCTGATATCTTTTGTTCTTATACCAGTTTCTTCCCCTTTTCCAGAAAACAGACACGAATATACATGCACACCTCACATGTGATGTTTCTCTTTATGTATGCATGTCAAGAATCAGTTCACCAAATTAATTAATTGTACCACATGAAGTGCATTAATGCATTGAAATAAATATCTATGTATTTTTTACCAGGCATTACAGCTGTGTTCAATTCTCCCCACCCTCACAGAACACCACCACAACAAGGCCTACCTGGCCTCCCTGTCCCCCTATGGTGGGCGGGGACAATTCCTACAGAGGAGGGTGGCCTACATCATGCTGAGGCAGCTGTTTGATCTGGAACCTTGCTCTACAGAGAAGCTAGAAAACTGCAAGGTAGCAAAATGCTTCATTGTAATTTTTGGTGTTATCTGCCTTTGATTGTGCCTTTCCAAGACAGCTTCATGTCTTCTAAAGTCATGCTGGTTTTCCTTAGACAGCTAACTTAAAATATTGGTCTATAAAAAATTGCTACTGAAATACTCAATATTTGCAAAAATTGCTAATTATTAAGAAAACGTTACATCAATGATTGAGGAATTGCTAATGACGAAGATTATTTTATCAGAATAACATTACGTCGATGAGGAATTTCTAATGTTGCCTTACCTCTGTTACACCTTTGCAGATTCGAGAGCTTCACCAGTTTTTGCCACACCTTCAGAATTTGGTAAACACAGACATGTACAAGTTGTACAGCTGTATTATGCTGATAGACCTGTGTGTGGGGAATGGTCTTATTACTCCAACAGAGAAGGTACTAGCCTCTGTCATTGTTATCAAAAACTAAAAATTCTGTTCCTTGCTACAGTACTTAAGTCTAATTAAATGTCCATGAAAAAGATGTTCAGATTCCCATCAGATCTAAAGGCCCTTTCACAATTGGCGCACGAGCAGAAGCGACAAAATATTCGTGCGAATGAATAATTTTGTTTTGGATCGTAAACTGTTTGCCAAAATAATCTCATATGAAAAAAGTGTTCGTACGAAATTCTCACGATCTAAAGCGACTGTTGTGCATTAAATCTTGTGATACATCTTACGTCTATATGGGACTGTTGTAGAATGAAAGCGAGTGTTGTAAGATAATGCGATAGGATTGTACGACTGATCAGGTAATCGAACGATTAAACGTGCGACGATACGATTGGACGTGCAGTGCTCGTGCGCTCATGCATTCCATAGTACAAATGTTCGTGCGAGTCAGAGGGCCGGATATATATATACCACCCGTTTCCGACGCTCTACAGTTGACATAGTTAAGATGCTTATAATTATACACGGTATATATACCTGTTGCAAAGAATGGCAATTGAAGGTGATAAATCAAGCAATGATAGTAAAACGTTGCAAGATTACATGAGACATGTTGAGCAACAGTCCCATGGTCGCAAAACACACGCAAAGACAGCTGCGATTCATCTTACGACCTTTAAAAATCGTGCATCACTCTTACGAGTACATAAAACATTGTTTATACACAAAACAAAACAAGGTTTAAGAGGTTTATTTGGTTTAATATTTAACATATCAATAATCCATAAAAAACATGAATACATAGAAAAAAATATATACAATGTAAATCTCAAAACTCATACTTGTTTGGCGCTCTGGGGGCTACTCATTACTCTCTCTACCTTTCCTTCCAACTCTTAACTGCGATCAATAAATAAAGCCACTCCAACCTGATCTCGAAACAATTAGACCCAATTCTGCCTAGAGCTGATCCCTAAAGGCAAGCACCAAAAACAACTCCGGGCTGATCCCAGGAGTGCACAATGCCTGTGGCTGATCCCGGCAGGCTACTAACAAGACAATCCTCTGGGCTGATCCCAAGAGGATGCTCAACAAGAAACACGCCTAGGGCTGATCCCTAGAGGCAAGCACAAATCGCCACTCCGGGCTGATCCCAGGAGTGATATGCCTGGGGCTGATCCCCGCAGGCCACGAAAACCTGACGGACCTCTGGTCTGATCCCGAGAGGATGTAAACAAGATACCTATCCTTGGGCTGATCCCTAAAGGCTAAAGTAGAACCCACAGTCCGGGCTGATCCCAGGAGTGCATCACGCCTGGGGCTGATCCCAGCAGGCTACATAACCAGACAAATACCTTCGAGTACAAACTATGGGCTAATCCCATTGTTTTGATGCATAAAATATAACCATTCTTATATACATGTACTACACTATACAATCGAAGTATTTAAACAGAACAAATCCACTTCAGACACACAAAATTTAAATATAAGTAATATTGGGGGCAAAATTCCCCAGGAATGAACCCAAATGAACGAAGTAATGAGTGAAGCCCCCAAGAGTATTTATATTATAGAACAGTGTTAATTGAATATTTGTAACAAATTTTTTTAAAAACAATCAATGAAAACCTTATCTACCACTCATTTTTTCTTGAGCTTCCCTTATGACTTGCGAATTAGTTCTTATATACCTGATATAACAATTTGAAGACCATCTACCTAATTCTTTAATCACATGGGATCGCGCACTTGTCTCTGTTCTATTAATAGACTCTTGTTCCACTAGACGTATCAACACTGATCTACGTGCGGTCTGTGGGAAATTTATTCCGCGATTATTCAAAAACTCTTTCAATCGGGAAACATGCCAGTTTGCGGGGAGTTCTGGATCATACGGAGCAGGTCTTGTGGATCGTTTAGGTCCCATCTTACGAAGTTACGTAATGTTATTATTATGAAACACAAAGTCAGTCGAATTCGTCTCAGAAACACTACATATAAACGTCAAAAGTTCCTATAACATGTAAAAACATCTAATACACACGCATAACAGGTTTTAAAAGTAATCCATTTTGTGAATGGTAGAGAAAATCGAAGATATTAGCTTCTGCACAATAGTCTGTGACTTCCAGGCTCCAACTGCAATTGCCAGACTCCCCCTCTAGGCATCAATGCCTCTGGCTACTCTTTTCTTATTGGTCAATCCAAAAAATACCCCATAAACAAAAACTATTTATAGAACACATCCTGATTACATAAAAAAATAAAATGCAACAAATTTTGTTCAGTCACAAAGGCTAGAAAAGACAATTTGTGTATAAATAATAATTTAATGTCATTAAATATCAATAAGACGTTCGTACTAATTTTCGTGCGTTGAATTGCGATAATTTGGATCGCATTTGGTCGCGTCTGAATAGTGTGCATGATGACTATTTTGAGGAGACTTGATGCGACCACTAAAAAACATGCAATGAATGCGAGACATCGTGTAACGTATGCGAGAGCTCGTGCGAAGCTAAAATTTTCCGATCGCAAAGTGTTGTAAAGTGCTCGTGCGCCAATTGTGAAAGGGCCTTTATATATTTACCACAGAGATCATTTTAAAAAGTTAGGCATGGAGAGATATTGACATTATTTCTAAAGTATTTTTCTCAGATATCCAAAAAAAAACATGTCACATTGCATGTAGAGAGTGAAAATTTATATTGATCTAAATTTATTTTTTAAGAAAAAATTGCTGATGGAGATGTCCATACATTTATCTCAAAAAAAGTAGAAAAAACAACTTTCAAATTCTATAAAAATGTATATATTTTGTTCAACATTCATGTGATAATAAAAATACTGTATAGGATTATATAAATCTTCAAGAAAAAGTGAACAAGTACAGTGAATTTGTTTTTGCTAATGAACCATGAAATGTCATATGGAAAAGAGGGGGTTTTTTTTTGTCTCATCAAAATAAAAATGCTTTGAAATAAAACTGATATATAGTAGGTATTTTAAAAATGATTGTAATCAGTAAGATTAGTTACAATATTTTGGTTTTTGGTCCACTAATACATTTTTTGTTTATGCAGGATAGCCTCCAATACCTGTCAGAACAGATCAAGAAGATTTGTGGGGAGACAAGGGATGATGTCCGCATGTTAGACAGAAGCAGGGTATGGATTGATATAATTTCATTTTGTTCTAGTTCTTTTGAAATTATGGTATTTTATTTTTTGAAAATCAGGGGAGAGAATAAAAACACTTGAAAACTCATTCTAGGGGAGGCTAGTTACACACAGTCTGAAAAATAAAGACCTTGTGTTCATGAGTTATACATCTTTATTTATCCATATTTGAAATAATATCCAAAAAAAATTTTGTTTTCTTTGTTGGATTCAAGGTGAAGGACCAAATGGTGAGGCTGACCAGTAAATGGACATTGATGTTACTCAGAGTGGGCAGTAAACAGGTAGGGAGATACACTGCTGGACTTGCTTCAGTTGCTGCATCTGACCTATATTTTCCAGATCAGTGTTCAGGCTTAAAGTTCTGGAGAAGGTTCATTTTCAAGTAACAAGAAGCCATATGCTTACCAAACTTGCAAGTAACTATAATCCCTGTGTTGAATGTTGACCCTGCATGTATGGATGATATATCGAAGGAGGCACACTACCAGGCTTTCTTAAGATGACCTACATTTTCAGGAAAAGTGACCCAGTTAAAGATTTTGGTGCAGGTTCATAATCATAATCATATTTGAACCAACCTTGCTTGAATGATGTATCTAGTGATGCATGCTTCCAGGGCTGCTTTAGATGCTGGATTTTACCTACATTTTCCAGATGAGTGACAAGGTTAAATGTTTTAGAGCAGACTCATTCTTGTGTACTTTCAAGCCCTATCTGCATCAAACTTGCATGATTAATGCATCAAGGATTGAATTTTCTCTAACTTGCTTCATATGCTGGATTTGACTTTCATTTTAGTTCTAAATTTTAATTTTGAATTTGAATCAATATATGTATCGATGTATTGGAAATTTTTATTTTACTATATGAATTTTTAAAGTGGTAAAATCTTTATTGACCAATGAAAAGCCAACATATACCATGCATGTGATATATGTACAACCTCAACTTTTTAAAGTTATAGTCCCCTTGCTAGAAAAAAATCAACAAGGAGGGTATAATTTCTATTCTCAGGAAGTAACAAAAATTTCTCACAAATGTCTTTTCACCAATCATATTCATTCAATTTACATTGTACATGCAAGAATGGAAAATATCTATATACTGGTACCTGAGTCATTTTCAAAAGGAAAATGATTATTTACAGTAGAGTATGGACAAGTTTATCTTTTAAAAAGATAGGTGAGCTAGTGCCGTAGCAATTTTTAAACACAGAAAGGAAGGTCCATGATCAAGTGATTTATTTTGCTGAATTCTTTAATGTTTATCGAAGCTGGAGTGTGATAAAGTATTTTATAGGACAAGTGGGTAAAGAAACGAGGGGGGGGAGGGGTGTGTGTGAAGTTTTTCTGTTGACCTATTGGAGTTTTGGCACAACGGAACATTTATGACCTTTAGTCATTGAGCTGGTTTAAGAATAAAATTTTTTTGCAATGTAGCAAAGAAAATACAAAAAGAATACAGAAAGAGTTTAAAAGAATATAGAAAATAACTCAAAGTGTATGTTGTATAAAGAAATCCAGAGAGTTCCGAATGTGAAGATGTGAAGTTGCTTGGTCCTTTGGGTCATCTTTGTCAAGAACTGTTAGGTTAAAAGCCATACACATCAGAATTGTTTTTATAAATATGGATTTATTCGTTATTTTTAGTGTAAATTCTTGTTTCTGGAATTTGTAAGATTGGCTGAATTGACCAATCAGAGTCTATCTTTGGTTGTGCTTAAACGTAAAAAAACAAAAACAAACCCTCCCTTGTCTTTGATTAGAACAATCAGATGATGACTCTGGCTTTTCAGTCAGAAAAAAGGGAAATTTGAAGTATTACAATTATGTAGCTATCTTTAAACTGTAAACTACACAATAGATAAACAAAGTTATTAAATGATAACAAAATTGTTATCGTACGGTCTAATCTATAGTAGCTTTTTTCACATTTTTCCCAGAATGCACCACTGTGAAGCCGAGCATGTGTATTCAAAGAATTTGGACTAACATAGTTGCTAGCGCTCGAGAGGCTAGCAGTAACTGTAAATGAGAAGCCTCATCATGTTTAATCAATATAAACAAACTAAATTGAAAAAATGTAGAACTGAATCATTTCAAATCTCATCATTTGATACAGTTTAAGATGAGTATGTACATGTACATATATACTGCATTCTTTAAACTTTTTTTTTTCTTATTGTAGAGGAGCATATTTGCCTACACAACTTCCAGAGCTCCCCAGAGTCTGACAATAGAGACAGTTCAAACTGCCCAATCTGATGAGAGCCAATCGGAACAGGATTCTGATAATAACCAATCAGAAGAAGAGTCAGATGAAGATATGGAACCCCTGGAGGACATAGATGTAGACCCCACAGAAATGCAGACTGATGATGTCCCTACTGAAAAACGAACTAATGATGTCCCCACAGAATCACCATCTGATGATGTCTTCTCAGAAATACCAGCTGATGATACATGACAGGAGGCATTGTCATGTGACCTGGGATCTGTGCTTTAGAAACTTCATTTTGTTGAGTACATGTATTTTAGACAGAGATGTTATATAAACATTGTTGAACATTTATAAGAATCAAATAAAGCTAGTCGAATAAAGTACATGTATGTAATTTCACCACTTACGGAAACAGTCTTGTATTTTTCCTTTTAATACAGCTCTCTATAGAATCTCTTGTATTTTGAGGTCAAAGGTCAAGGTCAGATGCACAAAATGGTTTTTAGATGATAACTTTGGTTTACTTTGAAGTTTTGCGATGAAAATTCATGTCATAACTTCTCGTGACTTATGGTCAAGAGCTAGTAAATGAAAGGTGACTATAGATTTTTCAAATTTGAGAAACAAGTTCATTTAATGATACTTTACAAATATAGCCTTGGTGA